TGAAATATCACTCAAAACGAATAAAATGCAAGTGTAACGAAAAGTGAAAATTGAGCCTGTGCACTTCGAGTCGCTTTGCCACTCTATAAGAAGAAGTAAAATTACTCTATAGTTGGAGTGAAATCGCACTCCAATATTTCACTCTGTTAGAGTCATTATCAGTCGATCTTTAAGTGAATCGTGATTTATACTATAGCTTTACAGTAAAATCATATTACTCCGGTAGAGTAGCCGCTCTAAAAATTTGAGTGAAAAATTCACTCCTTACGAGTGCTCGCATTTACTCAAATTATAGTAAACTCTCTCTTTTGGAGTGACTATCGCAATTATTCTAATATAATAGTAGCGAAACCACTGTATGAAATTTAAGGAGTCCCGATTTGTGTGTGTGTGTGTGAGACATTATGTTCACTCAGGGCGACGTCTTATCGGACGAACCAGCGTCTTGAGCTTCAACGTGCAGCGAAAATGTGTGTCTTGGAGACTGCACGCCGAAACTTTACCAGCGACAGCTGACACCGCTTTTCCGAGCTCATGCATACTTTATATCCTCTAACAGTGTTTCGGCGTGATGCTCACGTAAATCGGTATGAAACGTGACGTCTCGCCGCGAAAATCCGCCCGTCATGTTTAACGTAATAACAAGCGAGGTGCATCCTAAAACGGGGAAAAAGCATAATAGCGTGCGTTTTTGCAATTGTGACAAATTAATCGCATGCAATGTATTTGCTTATTCCCGCGACGGCCGCTACGTAATTGTGTTTATGCCCCGTCGTTCCTTTGTTTACCGAACCAATCATTTGGTTGTATTGCTAACGAGCGCAACGTTCGGCATGGAAGCAAGATTCTTGCAGTATTTTTTAAATAAAATTTACAAAATACATTATACAAAATGCTCATGGGTAAAAACTCTTATTCCTTTGTTTTTTGTCAATATTTTCAATGCTAAACTGTTATAATATCACATTAATTAATTAATTCTAAAGCAATATGTTACTTAGAAAAATAGAGATTTAACTCTGACGCAAATTAATTCCCAGATTATATTGCATCAAAGATCATCGCGAAATAAATAATTTTCGTAGAATAGTAAGAGTTAATATCCACGGTTAATATAATAATCGTACGTGACTGCACACATAATAAATATCTATGACTATGCAATTTTTTTGCTTCTCATAAAGTATTCTTCCACATAGAGGAAAAATACTTCCTACACTCACCTTGTGCGAATTGAGAATATCGAACGCTCCGATTTATAGCACCAAATCGATCACAGATTGCACATGAAAATTCCAGGACCGGACCTGCACCTAGAGACGAATCTAACCTGATTTATCGGTTCCACACGCGTGAGATCGCATATGTGATTCCGCAAACGAAACTCGCGTACAATCGGCGAGTCGATTCCGATTCCTCCCTTTTTTTTCCGGCCACGATTGTCTCTCACTCAAGCGAAACCGAGCGGGCCAATCAGAATTTCGGCACGATCACGGCGAGCATCGCTCGCGAACTGAATATTCTCACGGGGGTAGAAGCGTCAAGTGGAAGTGAACCGCGGGCGCTGGAGAGGGTAAATGGGGCAAGAGGGGTCGGGAGAATGCGCGGCGTAGGAGAGAAACGGCGGGGCGGGGAGGGAGCGCGAAGGGAGGTTGGGGATGTTGCGAGGGGGATGGGCGATGCTACTGCCGCGCGCAGAGATCGCCGGGTTAGTCGAATAGTTGAGCTTTACGATTAATTTAATTTTTTTTTAATTTAAATTTTTTGAATAGCCAAAGCATCTTTGCAGCTAATCACTCGCGTTACGAGAATCGTAACATATAAATTCTTTTAAGTGTAATCTGTTCTCAACAAGAATGTAAGACTCTGAAAATTTACAAATAAATAAAAATCTCCGTAAAAATCTAAAGACAAGTAGAAATATTAATCGACTCTGTTGGCCATTATAATCGTCAAAACAATACGACCATGATTCGATTCGATTATCGTCAAGACGCACTTTTAACCAAGGAAACCTTTCCTTCTAAATTGATGTAATCTTTGATACTTATATAGAAGCATCTCATTTAAATAATTAAATTTATTGCGAAAAATATTTCTTCAGCCAGCTCCTTGGTTAAAAGTGCGTCTTGACGATAATCGAACCAAACCATGGTCGTATTGTCTTGACGATTATAATGGCCAATAGAGTCGATTAATATTTCTACTTGTTATTATTTGATTGGCGAAGAAAATGTGATTTACTCGAAAATCTAAAAAGTTTGATTATACTTTAAAGATGACAAAATCTTATTTGTCTATGTGTATCTAACTTACATCAAATTACATTTCAAATATTTTAATTGCAGTAATATCAGACGTTTCTTATCTAGCGAAACCACTGCAAAGGGAACGGACTTGGAAAAATTAATGGGGAAAGAAGACCCTATTGAGCTTGACTCCTAGTCTGGCACTGTAGTATATGTATAGCACAATTAAAAACCGCACGTGTTTTTCATTGCCCCAACCTGGGAGCCTTCTCTAAATATAGAGAGCTAGGCAAGCAATATACTCTTGGTGAGTTGTCATCCCCATCTGACATCCAAGAGGTGGCGATCGAAATCTGACAAAACCGTGAGATTTGAACTCAATTCTCCGGCTCACTAGACCAGCGCACATCTCTCTGCGCCACGATCGCCACACTCGGCCTCGCAGAGACCGCAAGACATGCCTCCGTCGGTCGGCGTCTTCCTGCCGGGCACTCGCCCGCCATCCGTTTACCATTTACTAAAGAGATAGGGGAGACCGGGGCTTGTTGGCATCGTTTTCACAATTTCGGCATTTGAGTTTTTAAACAACTAATTTTTATGATTAAATAGTACTAATATGATAGAGAGAACCTTTCTCTACATTTTCAAGCCAAGAACGCTCCTATATACCGTATTATAGTTTCTTTGTAATAAGTGAAATACGAACATGCTGCATTGCAGCTAACTTGCCCCGATAGTAGGGTGTCTGCAATTTTGAGTGGAGAATTTATTTAACATTATGTTAGAGTCATTTATCAGACCATCTTTAGTGAATCGTGATTTTCTATAGCTTTAGAGTGAGATCGTAAAACTCCGGTATAGAGTACCGCTCTAAAAATTTAAATGAAAAATTTACTCCTACCTTATGAGTGCCGCATTTATTTAAATTAGAGTGACAATCCCCTCTTTTGGAATGACTATTACAATCACTCTAATATATTAGTGGCAAAACCACTCTATGAAATTTAAAAAGAATAATGTTGGAGATCCAAGCGTAGGGGAATGAAAGAAGAACGAAGAATTTGCGCACATAAAATACAACGAACGGACTCACGCCACGAATTAAAGATTAAAAAGCGTACAATTTCGAATTGGACAAAAAAGTTATTTCGTATAAAATATTGATTCGTAAAAAGCTATGCAATAAGTAGCTAATAGCGAGCTTATCCGCAGACGCGACTCGAGCTGTCCAACTGCGTAAGCATAATTCACGAGTGAAACCGGGCCGCGATGAGGAACTTTAACCAAACGCCACGTCGTATGCCGCAAGCTGACGCCGAAAAAACTGGCAGTTTCAGGCCTCGTTTACTAATTCTCGCCCGCAACTGTAGAGCATGGTTCGCTCCTCGGTTATTCAGCCGTCATCCTCCACTAAAGCGGCAAATTTCAGGGGCTCTAAAAATTCGCGGTGCGATCATAAGCGCGACCTACATTAATGTAACTCGATTCTAGATACGAAGGCTGCTCTTCCGCAGGCTATTTTCCCGCGGAATATGCGCAATTTTTCTCGATTTGCCGTTGCTGCCGACGATGAAAAATCGCGGCGCGCTAAAATTACTTCTCCACACGGCTCGAATCGATCACGAATCGTCGAAGAGAGGGATGGGCGCGCGTGCCTCACTTTACGTGATAAAATCGCTCATTTAGTATCGACGGGGCGGATTAAACTCTCGTGATACGACGAGAGAGGAATCAATCGTGAGCGAAATAATCGCGGCGATTATACTCGGATCTGCCGTAATACTTTGCGACAAAAAGCGGGACAAACTCCCGGCCAGCCGAACGTAAATTATACGCTTTAACCTGGAATATTTCATAAGACGATGCGTACCTGGAATTATTCAATATCCGCGGAATCCTTTGAAGCCCTTCGCCGAACTGTCGGTTGCCCCCCCCTTTAAAAGCATCTCTCGTTTTCTCCCGCTCGCCCTCTCCTATCCGTCTATCACGTCTATCCCGCTCTTCTCCACGGCGCTTCTCTTTCTATTTCACGGAGTATGTACCTGGATGACCCCGTCACCGAAAAAGGAATATTGCGCCGGGCGCGTAGAAATGCGAATATTTCATGGAGAAAACCGTCTCGATTATGGAATAAATTAAAGAACGAGTACATCGTTGGTAATAGCTTCTATTTGCATTTAGAGATGAGACTGCCGCCGCGCCGCGCCGCGCCGTGTGCGTCCGAGACGAAGTAACGAAGATATCCTCGAGGATTTTGGCCGACGATCAAGCAGACAACTCAACGCAACGTTATACAGCAAGAAGTCGGTAAAATATATTTTTTATAGAATTTTAGTAAGTATACATAAATTCCCCTAAAAAATCTATATTTTAACACAAAATATACATCTGACAAGACATATAGTCCATTTTATTTCTTTCGATGTTTAATATCTACCTGGAACTGCTTTTACTTTTAAATTTAATTCAAACGTGAAGATAGCAATTTTAACGCAACACTTAAATCTTAAAATATAAGAAGAGTGAATATGTCTCTGTTCAGTCTGTTCGTACTTTGTGTAGTGCGAAATTGGTTAGAGCAGATCGGAATTGTACATGTGTCATGCGCTTTCAAAGGCGAATTTATAACACTCCGTTAGATTCATACATTAGTGCATGTAATAGAACCAATAAGGGATTCAATCTCAAGAACAGTTTGATGAACACAAGCCGTATTGGTGCAAATAGATAAAGCGGACGCTATTGTATCGTATGCAACCTATTCCTGAAGATGAACCAACCGCATCCACCTCCACAGATGCGCGAGCACCAAATAATAAACAGATACGAGAGAAGTAAGCAAATCGATATGCGACCGATACTCCAACATCCTAATATCATTATACCTATAGTGTAATCGGCAACAGCAACGCGATCGAATCAAAACCATTTCCATTTAGCTGAGCAATCACACGCATTGATACTAAATTATAGAGTCATTGAATTGACACGTAGAATTGCGCGTCCTAGATCGATCGAGATAGCGGAGATAGAAGACGAGGACGAGGAACACGATGACAACACCTGTTGTCATCGTGCGACTTTCTGCAATCCGGTGTTACGAGAGATTCTCGTGACCAACGTGATCTCCACGTGTTTTGAGCTACAGCTGACATGGGCGGATCTCTTCTGGCTCGCGACCGTGTGCGGCATGACCCTGCTGACCTGGGCCGTTTTGTACTTCCTGCTGGGCGACATGGTACTACCCGGCGGCAGCATATTTGGCCTGCTCGTCCTCGTCGTACTTTCCTACGCGCTCGGCTGGACCCTCGCCTGCATTCCGCGGCTGCATCTTCCGCCCGTCTTCGGCATGCTTCTCGCCGGTATAATACTACGTAATACCGACGTCTACAATATACACGATATGCTCGGGCCGGGTACGACGTCCAAGATCAGGACCTTCTGCCTGACCTTCATCATGGTACGTGCTGGCCTGCAGCTGACGACGACCGCGCTGAGGGCGCATCCCGTGTTTGTGATGATCCTGGCCCTTGTCCCATGCACCGTCGAGACGTTGGCCGTCACCGTCTCGTGTAAATATCTTCTCGAATTCCCGTGGAATTGGTCCTTCATGACGGGGTAAGGCAATTTACCAATCCATTAGGGTATTCACGAAAATCCACGAATAATGGAAATTCTTATTCAGCAGAAAATCAAATTCTAAACGCGCGCAAGATTTAGTTATATGTATATACTTGTTGATAATCGCCAATTTAAAATATTTTATTGGGTATACTTTGATGAAAAATAATTTCGTAAACAGAGCATTGCTATAATATAAAAAATTTAAGACGCAGTAATGTAGACTAACGATTGTAAGATTATGTCATCGCAAAAATATAAGGATGTTTTATGCAATAAATACATTCTCTTCAAGGGCAATTGTGGCCTGCATGTCTCCTGTAGTAACGGTCAACTGCCTCCTCACCTTATCTGAACAGGGTTACGGAGAAGACAAAGGACTCGCCAGCTTGTTGTGTACCGCGGCGTCTATCGACGATGTCCACATCGTGTCTTTGTTCTCCATCTGCTTCTCTTTCGTTTTTAGCAACGGTATACAGAAATCGTAAGAAACCGGAGAAACCCGTAATGATGCATCGGCATTCACATAGCTTCCTATCTTGCTCCTTTGAGGGCGGAAGATTTCTCGCGCGGAAAAGGAATATTTCAAATTTTTCAACGGGAAACACAAACTGTCAATAAGAATTCGATAAAAGTGAACGTAGAGTTGTATTTTTGTATTAATTTATATTTATACTGTATAACTCTCTCCGAGAGAAAGAGGAGAATTAAGTCGCTGCAATAGTGAGCTGTATATATCTTTAAGAGATCATATTCCGATACTTTTCCCTCAGTGAATTACGGTATTAATGCGGTAAATATTTCATAACTCCCATAACTAATACATTAGCGGTTTGCATCGTCGACGAGCATCGCGAGCTTGGCGAGCGAGCTATATAAAAAAAAAGTATAAACGTACAAAGAGCTTTCCATAAAGCGAGCCATACATCTTCCTAGATGACGGCAGAACAGAATGGTGGTCCTATATCCCCGGCGGGATTCGAGATTTCCTCCTGGGACTTATAATGGGAATTATCTTGGGCTTTGCCCTGGTCTTTTTCCCTCATCGCAATCACGTAGGTACTTTATTCATTTCCTCGCGTACGTCCGAGTGCGCGCGAAATTCGGGTCACGTATCGCGAGGGCACGTTTCGTGTAATCTGAACTAACAAGAGCGGACTTATTAACGCCTTTTTGCTGATGTTTTATTAAAATATTGCTCACGTCGCGGCGCGCGAATATAAAGTTTACGGAAGACTGAAGAACTTAATATTCTTCCATTCGATTGTAATGATAAATATTCTTAGCCGTTCCGCAATTTAATTTATTCGCCGTACCTTAAAAGCGTAATCCTTTCTTTTGTGTCGCAGAAATACGCGACGTGGTATCGCATCGGTGGCTTAGCTCTCGCATCTTTAATGTGCACCACAGCAGCATCGAGACTGGCGGTCACAGGTGGAGGATATCTCGCCACTATTATACTATCGTTCATAGCCGTTCACGGATGGCGAATTTTAACGATTTCGTATGATGTAAGTGAGCGAATACGTAACAAATGCGTCATAGATATATGAAATCTGTTATAGAATTCATTTTTCGGAATTTTCTCATCACTGCACTGCTGTAATAAATATGATTCAAATTATGCTCAATTTGAGTCATTTTTAATCATTCCTATAAGTCATCTACTCATTATACCATTAATTTAACTAAACCAATGGAATATTAAAATAATATCTACTGTTTTGTCTTAACATAATAAATTTTGACACAACAAAATGTCATTTAACTCAAAGTATTGATTTTATCCTTTAATATTTAACAACTGTTAATTCGTGACGTCTCTGTTCTTTGTTAAAAATTAGAGTTCCATTTTGTGTAAAGAAAATTAATTTCAATTATTCTCTTTATGTTGCAGACGACACCCTTTCACAAGGCGTTTCATTTTCTATGGCACTTCGTGCAACCGATTTTAGGAGGCGTGATTGGCGCCGATATTGATTTTAGAAACTGGGCTATATCCAGATTCGGACTTTACCTCGCTTGTGTACTCATGGGAATATCTGTAAGTTATGTCAAGACATGAGAAATGAGTTGTAGCGAATTCGATTGGACGCATTAGTGCGCATTGCTGCACATTAAAGCCATCGTATACAAATTGAGTAAAGATGTACACTGTAAAAAAATTTTGTAAAATTACAACTATTATAGTGAGTAATTTTGAGACCAACTATAATAGGTGTAAATTTCCACACATTTTTAATTTGTGTAATTATAATACAAAATTACTTTTTTCTTCCGTACTGTAATTTTACAAAATTTTTTTCCTCAATACACTTTAAAATATGTATTGGGCGTTTTATCAGTCGAGATACTTGCACTTTACTTTTAGATTAGAACAGTGTACAGCGACGTATAAGCAACTAATGCGTTCAACCAAATTAATAAAAATGAATAATTTTAAAGAGTAAAAAGTGACGCGAGTAAAAAATGGAATATATAGCTTTATGCTTTATTTCACTTCAAAATAAAACTTAGAGATTAATTTTCTCGCAATGCCTTTCTGCGCCATATTATCTATATCTCATCAAATAAACACAATTCTAATAATCCTATAAAAATTTTATACAATTCTCCAAGTTTAGGTGCGCAGTACTACCGCCTTTTTAACGACAATCCGAATGCCTTTCACATGGAAAGAACGACTCTTCATCGCCATAGCTTGGGTACCGAAAGGAACTTTACAGGTAAAAGAAATATTTTATTTTTTTAATTCCCAGTATATTCCCATGAACTCTGTTTGTCGAAAATCAATGAAATTAACAGTTTGATGAATGTCGATATTTTAAAAATTAGGCGGCGTTAGCGCCGATGGCGTTTGAGCGTGCCAGAAAGGAAGGCGACCCCACGAAAATAGAATTAGCTCTCGACGTGGTGAAGATATCTGTAATTGCCATAGTATTTCTAGCGCCACTTGGAGCAATCGGCATGATGACCAGCGGTCCCTATCTCTTGAACAAGATCAGTATCGAGGAGCACCAAAGGGAGCGGGAATTGAGCTATATGCGCATTGTCGCTTTGCAACCTGTTAGAACGCGCAAAAAAACAAAGAAACCAGTCCACTCAGATACCGTTAAGACTCTCTCGCCAATAGAATCGACTTAGCAGCGTTAAATGTAGTGATCATGCCACTCGTTAAATACATTGACATCTTCGAAAAATTTCGCTTTTTATTTCTTTCTTTAAATAATTTCAAATCTTTTAAAATATTCAAAAGGTTTCCAAAATATTAAAAAATTTTTAGACTTTTGAGAACTTCTCGGTTTCGAATATTATTTCAGACAATTCGAGACTTTTTTCATATATTCGAAGTAATTAGATGTATATACTTAATTGTATATAATTATTTAGTTGCGTATTACATTTTAAAGATTATTACTCGTGTTGGGTGTAAAATACACTCCAGTCTTTTTAATAAATTCACAAAGTAAAACGTTTTTATCAGTCAAATATTGTACAATCTGTTTCATAGTTAAAGAAGACCTTTTGCACTTATTTTTACTTAAGAAGATAATATACAGAATATTATCAATTTGTATTTAATTATAAATCAAAGAAAACAATGAAAAATATATATCTAATATCACGGGGTAAAATACACCTTACGTGAGTAATTACGTTAAAAAAAAACCATGCAAAATAGGGGAGACCGGCTCGTTGGCACCGTTTTCATAAATTCGGCATTTGAGTTTTTAAACAACTGATTTTTTTCATGATTAAACAGTACTAATATGATAGAGAGAACCTTTCTCTACATTTTCACGCCAGAAACGCTTTTGTATACTATATATATAGTTTCTTTGTAATAAGTGAAATACGAACATGCTGCATTTGCAGCCAACTTGCCCCAATAGTAGGGTAAGTTGACTATGCGACAAAAGTCCATGTTAAATTAATGAAAACGTAATAAAAACACAAAACGGGTAACAGATATGTACTTCTTGATAAAGATTGTATCTTTTAAAGTTATTTTTTAATGATCGAATAGCAAAATGCTGTTGCAGAAAAACAATTGTAAACTATTTTAGATGTGTAGCTGCTTTCTTTAACATAAAAATATTAATATAAATATATATCTAGTTTCTATCAGCATTGTAGGTAGCAAATCACATACTCACACAGGTCTCACGCGCGCGGCAATGACAGGTCAAGCTAAGCGTGTCTTATTGATATGAGCCATTATACGTTTGATTTCAGTCATTTTATTACAATAAATTACTATTGTTTCTCAAAATAACATGTCAGTAACAGAAACTTTTTTTTTAACTAAATGATACGTCACTTTGGTTTACTTCCCAAGCTGAAGAACATTAATACGATATTTTAAAACGCTCGAAAATTTACTTGCCACCTCTTGAATCAGAGTTCTCTTTTTCTATTGTAATACTTGTTTGATTAAAATAAAACTTTGGAAAAAGTACCTATGTCATAAAAGAGATATTTTGTGATAAATTTTCCATTATTTCTTTCGTTATAAATACATAAACAGAACGCATTGCCAACTTATTCCCTCTTGTGCCAACGATCCCCGGTCTCCCCTAATGTATAATGGGATTAACTTGAACACGTAAAATACCATTTGCATTTCGAATCTCAATTATTTTCGTCAGTTCTCACGTTAATATCGCGTCGAGATCTATCAAGATGTTCACCTAGATTCTCGAGCATCATATATCCTATTATTTTCCAGAAATACGCAACTATATACGGCATTATATGGTATACTATATATCGCTGTGCGGAAATGACTTCGGGCGTCGTAAACAAATGCATCAGGATGTGCGGAACGCGGAACGAGACGAGAAGCTACCGCAGCGTCGCGCGCATTTACACACAAGACACCGTGTGTTTCTGCATTTAAAGCGCGTAGCGCGAGCGAGCGAGCGAGCGCGCGGGGTTGTTTGGTGTCTCCGAGACGATCATTATTATTGGCAAAGTGAAACTGGGGCAACGTCGCCCGCTCGCGAGCGACGTGATAGGAGCATATTGTGCTTATTGTTCGTAAATAGAATCGCGCGCGGTGACGAAGCGCGTGGCGCCGAGATAACGAGACGAAGGGCGACGATGTCTTTCCGTATGCATCAAAGACGCTCTAGCGGTGGCTGTTATAGCGGCCAGGTGTGCCGAGATAAAGTCGCCAATTCGAAACCCATATAGATCTACATCATCCCCGAGGATAAGGACGCCAAATACCAGATACTCCTCTTTCAAGAGCGGATCCAGAAGAAGAATCCCAAGCGAAACAAAATGTCACGATGACGTCAAAGTGACATCAAAACGGTTCCAAAGTGAATAGTGAAAGTTACTTTAACACCACTTTAACGTCACCATGACTCCTTGCCCTTACTCTGCCTGGGAAGAAAAGACCGGTTCGAACTGTAATAGCGATTTGCATATCCCAAGTGTAAATATCGCGACAGCGATTTTATAGCTCTAGGGTTTTAAGGCCTCAAATACAAAAAAAAGGATTGAAGAATTGAGGGGACAAAAGAAACTCACCACATTGATTTTGCAACCGATACAAAGTCTGATATGCCACCGGATATAAAGAAAAATTAACTCCACACAGGAATCCTATCAGAAAGTCTACACAAAATACCTATTACTGCTCTGACTCTTTCGACTGAGCAGTTTTTTCAATATTATATATTAATAATAAATAATATTATAATTAATTATAAAAATTAATATAAATATGTTTTGTATTATGTAGACAGATAGCCCCTCGAATGTAGCCAGATAGCCCCGGAGTCATCTCAGTCATCTGTCTACACTAAAAAAAAATTTATTATTTGCAAGAAAATAGATTTTTTTAAATTTAGTTTTTTTAAGTCAAAGAAGTATATTGGTTAGATTTAAGAAAACATTTTTCTGAGTTTAAAATATTTTCTCGAATCTACCTAATACTTCTTTGAATTAAGGAAATTAAAATTCAAAGAAATCTATTTTCATGTAAATAATAAATTTTTTTCAGTTTACGCTCAAAATGTTAAAAAATGATTAATTTTAATTACATTTTTTTTAGCTTAAAAGGTTACGTGAATAAATCCGTGTAAAGGCTCTGGTAACAATCAAAGAAAGTGTAAAACGGGCTAAGTAAGAGCCAAAAGCGCTGTTGACGATGCACAAAGGTTCATTCCTTTATTTATGATATCTTTAAATCGATATATTTTTCCTAACATTGAGGAAAAAGCGATCCATCTGTTACCTTTTTACGTACCGTTTTTCCGTAGATGCGTGGACGACGTTATTATGGCCGCTCCATCTGAATTATTTGATTTTTTATTTTATAAATTTTCAACTCTCTACATAAGAGATTACAATTCACAATGGAAATTAGTGAAAATAATAGGCTTAACTTGCTTGATGTCACTGTGATGGTGAGAGACGGAAAATTTATTTTCGATTGGTATAAGTAAACCCTGCACCTTTTCTGGGCTTAATTACCATTCACACCATCCAATCTCCCATAAACGAGGCGTTATTTTTGGCCCAGTTTACACAAATTAGGTATATACAATTTAATTATATTATACATATACAATTTTATATAATTGACATTTGCGATTTCTTAAAATTATAAAAAAATTAATTTTTGTTGAATTATACCCTCCCGCTTTATCCCTACCTACCCGTATGTTTATTTATTCCTACCTAAATTTCTTACAATTATATTAATGAAGTTTCCTTCTATTGTCGAAAACCATACCCCCATATTCCTACCTACCCGTGTCTTTACTTATTTGTTTTTCTACCTACCCGATTTTTATCTAATTTTTATCCGTATTTCTACCTACCCGTATCTTTATCTAGTACATTTATATAATTACGCTTGCAGTTACCCGCAAAAAGCGTGCGTAAATTTAGTTTTAAATTGAGATCGTTTAGAAGTTTTATTAAGAGTTCATGCGGGATAGAGATTTAATTAGATAAAATAGAGACGGCATCTTTTTCCGTCTGATTACGTGCACTGAAAAAATTTATTATTTGTAAGAAAATAGATTTCTTTGAATTTAGTTTCCTCAATTCAAATAAGTATATTAGGTAGATTCGAGAAAATGTTTTAAACTCAGAAAAACGTTTTCTTAATCTATTTAATACTTCTTTGAATTAAGGAAACTAAATTCAAAGAAATCTATTTTCTTGCAAATAATAATTTTTTTTTAATGTACAATTGCACGTATACAAAAAGAAACTTTATAGGCTTATGTTATATATAGGCTATACCGTTATGTATTTTTAAAATTCGATTGGTGTTGCACACCAACCTACCTAGTACGATCCTCTTCGTCTTCTTCCTTCTGGCCAGAGTAGACTCACCTTTTGTAACACTTGGCCATATCCTGGCTTTATATAGCCAGAAATCGACAAGGAGAAATACTCCTTTTGCTGCCGGCTAATCATCGCCGACAATAAGCGTAAGATTTTACGCTTTTGTGATGCGCGAAACACGAACGCGTCGCAAAAGGGCCATCACATTAATTAAATCAATAACATACAAAATTAACAATTAACAGTAATGATAATAATAATTCTATAAGTATACAAATTAATTGCTCATTTATACTTTATGCGCGTTTGTTCGTATTAAAATATGTATCGAGTAATTAACAAATAAACGTATCAGATTGGAAACAATTTGAAAGAAACCTTTATCTCGACTTGTGTTTCGATTCGAAAAAATTCGATCCACGATTATGAAATTTATATTTAATTTTCAAATATAAACTTTATATAAATAATGAAACTGTAATTTAAAAATAAATAAATAAAAATTATTAGACACGCCATTCGGCATTCGTTAGAATCTAAGGCCCATATGCATATTCTCATTGATTCGAACGGTTCGTTGCTGAATTCTCATTTCAAAAGCATGCAGATATAAGAAATTCAGATGAATGACGTAAGATCCGAAAGGGATAATATTTTTCCAACACAATTAGAATTAATAAAAATATCTCTTTGTACTTTACAAATTATTAAAATTATTTTTCATATAATATATTAATTCAAAATTATTTTTAAATAAAGTAAAATTGATTGATTCTACAATAATTACTTAGATAATTAACTAGAAAGAAATCTTCTATTTTATAGCAATAAATATATATGGGATCTTACGTCATATTATTATTTCAACTGGTAAAATCCAGTTATCAATTACCTCAACAGACATATATTAATTTATCACTCACCGACCCCGATGCGCAACAGCGGAATTACACCTGCCACGTAGCTACGTTGTATCTGTAATATACGAACATAAAATTCATATTAAAATGGTGTTCAAAAAACCTAATGTTTTGAAACATAATTCCTATGTGCATCAAACTTTTTATTATTTAATTAAATATTAATTTAAATAATGAAACGTTTTATGAAAAGGATCTTTACAAGGATAAATACAATATTAAATTATTTCTTTTCTTCTAATTATTATTTCTAAATTATTGTGAAATAAAGCGATTCAAGGATAAACAGGAAAAAAGTTGCTTTTACACAAATAAATAATATTTACCGAAAAGTTGTTCCGCTGGTGCCCGATGCCTCTCCCAGGCCTGCTCCTCCTCTCAGGCTATCCTCTCGGATTATCAGCTCCCTCGATGCGACACTCCGTGTTCCCTCGATGCGAAGCTGATGCTTCTTCCCGCGTTGATATTTTCTGTAACATAAAAATTATCGAATCGATTAAATAATTGTCACGCGCATTGAACATTTTATTCGTTATTCAGATTAATACACATTCAAATTACTTCTTCGCAAAAAAGTCTCTACGTTAGAATTAACTTGAATCAAATTTTTCAAATTATTTCTTTTTACTAATTTATATTTTAAAACACGGGGTTTAATGTAGCAACTGAATAAACACAAACGAAAAGAGAGATTCTATAATATCTTTAGAAATAAATAAAAAGTAACATTTACCAGAAGTGTTGATACGCCGATGCCCGATGGATATCGCGATTATGCATTTTCGTACTTCGAACAGAAAATACTATGTCCGCCTATTACTACGATTATTATTTTGCAATTCGAGCGAATAGGCGTATTAATCTTGGCAAAGATATCCGCGATTTCGCGACATTAGAAAATACGATCGTTTACTCTCGCGACTGCCCGCGCGCCCGCGCGACACACCATCGGCCGAACAAGCGCCGCGAAACACGTATTTTCAAGAATTATTAAGACCCGCGAACGCCGAATCCATTACCACGCGACAGATATCGCAATATATATTAAATGAAAAGGTCAATACATGTTATACTCACCAATTAAACAAGTCGCGACGCCAGTCATCGTTCCGCAGCCGATCCGTCTCATGTCCGCCGCGCTCTGGAAATGGAAGGGGAACATAATCAACATGGCGGAGGCCCTTCGCACGGTCAACTTATCGCGCTAAAATAAGCGGCGCCGCGGCGGCGGCGACCGGCGTCACTACGCGTACCGTTCTGAACTTCGTGATTACGCATTTCTCGCACTACGAGTAGGAAATACTATATGCGCTTGCCTTTTACTACGATTATTATTTTGCAATAGGCGTATCAATGGTCTTAACAGATATCCGCGATATTCGCGACATAACGACATTAAAGAATATCATCGTCACTTTCGCGACCGCTCGCGCGGTATGCATCATCGGCCGAATAAATACCACGAAATACATATTTTCATGAATCATCAATACTCGAGCGCCGAATATGTACTACGCGACAGATATCTACTGCAGTATATAATGAATGCAAGCTTAATATTTACCAGTTAAACGAGCCGCGACCCGCGACGCCGCTCGTTCCGGAGTCGGTCCGTCCCGGTGTCAGCCGCGGCCGGCCTGGAAGTGAGAGAGAGGAGAACGTAATGAACATGGCGGAGGCGATTCGTCTCTCGCGCGCGGCAAACTTCACGCGTCAAAAGTGACGCGGCATCGCTACGCGGCGTCCTACTCTTATAATTTCACGTTCATGTATTTCCCGCATTTCGAGCAATGAATAATATACCCTCATATTTTGTTTGACGGTCGTTATCTCGCATTACGATGCAAGTTAAATAAAAACAAGATAAAATTGCAAATAGATATCCGAAAATATAATCGCTTTAACGATTATCTATGCGATAAATCATCGGTCGAACAAGATTCGCGAAATACGGTACGCGTTGAAATAGATTATCAATGTATGAACGCCAAATCTATATTGCGTGATAATTAAGTATTGCAGCAAATGGTAGCGATGCAAAGTTAATATGAGTTTTCCTCTACCATTTAAGCGTGTGTCGCGATGTCACTTGTTCTGGAGTCGATCCCGTGTCGATCCGCCGCGTCCAGGCCGTCCAGCAAATGCAAAGTGAATGCAATCAAGATGTCGCAACGGCTTCATCTCCCGCGCGATTAACTTTAAGCCGAGTTTGTCGCCCGATTTCTGATTGGTCAAGGAAAATAACTACTGCGCATCCTTGGAAATGCTACACTTGTCTTTTTACATCATGTTTTATATATAAACATTTTTTTCTTATTTTCTTAAACTTTATACTTTTTCGTTAAAAATTTTTTTTAGTAAAAAAATTACTCTTTAATTACATATTTTCTAATTCTTTTTTTATAAAAAAAAATTATACAAGAAAATAAATATATATATGTATATTTATATATTTATATGTATATGTATATTTATACATACATATACATGTTTTTTATATAAAAAAAATTTTTTTCCGGGTAACATTCTGCGAAGATCATATAATGACAATTCGTGAATTTTATATAGGTTCGACATTTTTAAAACAATATAAAATATAATGTAACAAAAGTGTAATATAAAAAAAACATTAAAATGCAAATATATAATGTTAATAAATAATATACAAATATCTTGAAACGCTCGATTGACCAATCAGGATAAAGAAATCTTCGGAGCATTCCTAAAGCTAACTGGACAGCGTCTTACGTTACGGTTGCACTTCTTGTTTATGGTTGTTTTCTGATTAATTGTGTTAGGATTAGGTTAGGTTGTAAATAGGCAACGTAAGGCAACGTGAGAATTATTTATATTTCATCAAAGCACCTTTGTATCACTCGCAAATATGGTTCGCAAAAAGAGGTAACTAGAAAAAAAGTTTATTAAATCAATAAAGACTAAATCCTAAGAGCCAGGAAAATTTCGAGATACATATATATATATATATATATATATAGAATCTCGTAAAGAAATTATTGGGTTTGAACTAGAGTTTTAGATGACTACTCTCGTGGACAAATGTTTGATTTAACAGTTATAGTAATATAATAATATTAATTATAATAAAAAATGTCAAATAAAATATTTGTATCAACTCTACTTAAAAGAGTAGAAAAAAATAGATAAATTTTACTTATTTATATCCTTTGAAAATTTTATGTATCAAGATACTCCAATTTTTATTGCCTTTTCCTACATTTTATGAGAATAATGTTCCCTATTTATGAATTTACTTCTATATTTTTTTTAGAACAAGAAAACCTCTCGGTAATGAGGATATTGACGATATGGACGACATCGAAGATGTGGATATGAATGCTGTGACGGATTCAGAAGAGGAATATACGGAAACTGAAAAAAAATTGCTGGAGAAAGTGCGGAAACAGCGCACTACTGAAAATTTCGATAGCGACGATGAGGTTTACGGGCTGCAAGATGATAGCGAGGTGGAAGAAGAAGACGATGAGCGAGATTCAATGGAATCTGACATTGAGGGGGCACAGGAGGATTACGATATGCCCAATGACAGAGCTTGGGGCACTAAAGCGAAAGCCTTTTACTCGTCGGATTTTAAATATACAGATTATGCATCGGCGCCCGAAAAGGACTTGGTCAACGCGGACATGGAGGAGGAAGAAGGAAGAAGATTGCATTTAAGATCGATGGGACAGCATTTAGCTCTTGATGGTTCAAGTTTTAGTAAAAATAAAGCAGCTCAAGTTATCGAGGACAGTAAAGTTGTTCGAAAGGACAGTACGCAGTTGTCTGATAAGGAATTTTTCATGATCATGGTCAAGCTTTTTAAAGGTACTTTATAATAATATTAAAGACTATATTGTTTCGTTTGACGTTATATAGTCATAAACACAGAAATGTTAACATTAAAAATATGTATTGTATTAAACGAATAATTACTTCTATTACAGATTACATGACGCAAGCAAAAGACATTTTGGCACCCTTTCTTGAATTGGTCAAAGATGGGACATGTCCCGAATGCAATGCAGTAGCTTTTATTAGAACCAAGTATGAAATTATATTAAATTATTGTACAAATATTTCGTTTTTGTTGATGCTGCAAACCAAGGGACTGCCAGTGAAATCACATCCAGTTGTAAAACGTTTGGCACAGTACCGTCATCTGATCAGCGAACTGGAATCAGAGCAGGGAGATTTGTTGGAGCAAGTGGCAGAGATACTGAAAGCAATTAAAGAAGGTAGACCTCTTTACAGCATATCGGATGGTTTTCAGATACAAAGTAGTAAAAAGAGTCCAAGGCTTACTAGCTTATCTAAAAAGCTGGCAAGTAAGAAAGAAGCAGTAACACTAGAAGAACAGTCACTATCTGACAGTATGAATGAAGAAGCAAGCATTGAAGATCTAGATACTGAAGAGAAGCATGATGGCGAATCTGTGGTTGATGAAAAAGATACTACCATTCTAGATAGTATGAATGAAAAAGAAGAGGCTAAGAGAGCGATAACATACCAAATGGCAAAGAACAGAGGTCTTACGCCTTATCGGAAGAAGGAACTGCGCAATCCGCGTGTAAAGCACAGAAATAAATATCGCAAAGCCAAGATTCGCAGAAAGGGCGCGGTATGTATAAAACAAAGATTAATCGTTTATTTTATTATACTGACATACGAGAGCTCTTGGGATGTGAGATAAAAATAAATTATTTCTTGCAGGTGAGAGAAGTGAGAAAGGAATTGACTCGTTATGCGGGAGAGATCTCGGGTATCAAGGCAGGTGTGAAGAAAGGCATTAAATTAAAATGATTCACAGATTTTGTCCAATATAGATTACTTGGATATTTTTTCAAATATATGAATATATATTGTATTTAATTGTGCTCGATATTAATCTCTTATTAATGTACAATTTCTGAGATTAACCATCCAGTATTTATTAACCAGTATATTTCTGAGATTCCAGTATCGCAAAAAGTAGATTTTCAAACTTTCTTAGAAAATTATTAGCGGCGATTAATCGCCACATAATTGCAAAGCGCTATTAGGTGTACGAAAATAACGACATAAATACAATAGACAAACGCTTTATTTTATCAGAAAAATGTATGTACATGTACAGTAAGAAACAATGGCATTTTAGCAGCAACAGATTCTTTGAAAAAATTAGGTCTTTATTGAGCTAAACGAATAACTTGCAATTATATTATGTAAAACATATACTCTGTATACATATTTTTTGCTGCTAGTTCATGAAGTTCTAGAAGAACTTATATAGCATTTATATAAAACTGGAAACGTAACTTAAATTCAACGAATTAAACCTCTACTTTGGCTAATATATCCGACTCGCGGAACAAGTGGTATTCCTTGTTGTCCTCAAGTTCAACCTTCGTGCCGCCGTATTCGGGAAGTAACACGACATCTCCGATCTTGATGCTTAAAGGCACGTGCTCTCCTTTCTGATAAGAAAAGACAAAAGATAATATGAATATTAACAGACAATTCACAGAAATATTTTGTAATAGATGTGAACATGGACTACGTTTACATGTCACTATTAATCGGGTTTAATAACATTTGTAATTATTAACTTCCTAAAACGCATGCCCGTTTACACGAAGGGATGTTATTTTATCTCCAAAGAAATCTTAATCTTGTCGAAGAAATACAACAGATATACTTTTCATAATTTTATCTAAGTTGGCAATGCAATTATAACAACTTGCTTAGTGTTTTACACGTTTCTTTAAAACCAGGTTTATAAGCCTACATTTCTTTGTTAATGGGTGTAGAGTAATAACAACTGGTGTTATAAAGTCGAATTTAACGAGCGTTTTTTCATTTTATGCAGCAGTAGTTATAACTCCTGATGTTATTAAACCCGATTAATGGTGACCAATATACATAGTAGTCATAGATATTCCGTGTATGTGCGTACATCGTTCCTCGCTCCAGGACCTGTGGCAATGACTGTGCCTCGCAGGACTTTTGCTTGAGCTTTCTCTGGCAGTACAATACCACCTTTTGTTTTGGTAATAGCCTCGGCCCTTTGTATGAGGACTCTGTCAAAAAGAGGAATCAGCCTCTTCACAGCATTGGCAGCAGCCTGAAAATACGTAGACATTTGCAATTATTGATGTTCTGTATGTTTCAGCTTCAGACATTAATGTGTTAAATTAAACTATTACTCAATTTTTAATTAACGACTAATGTTCATTTCTATCAATGCAAATTAACTTTAATCTCAGTTTTTACTTCTAAGAAGTGAAAAAAAGATAAAAAATAAGTTAAACCGAGATTGGATAGATAGATTTCCGAGATGGAAATAAACACAAATTTACAAAATTTGCATTTAAATTTTAATTTGACTACGCTGACTTGCGCCTTGACCGTCATCTCCAAACTTTTTTTGTAGATTTTAAAACAATACCAGAATTTGATAAGAAAAGAGGTATACGATGATGAAAGTTATCAGTGGAATTTCACTTATATGGCAAAAGTTAGCGAAATACCTGCATATTTGACTACTTCTCGCGCAAGTTATCACGAACACAAACGAACGAGGATACAATTGCATTCGAGACACCGATTGCTCCTGTTTCTCGACAAATTCGTGAACAAATGCGATTCGTCTCGAACCGATCGGCGATACAAGGAAAAACTCGTGGTAAAGCCTTTGTCTTTTGCACTAAGGTCTGAATTATGATATTCTCTGTCGACAAAAGGCGCTGTCTTAAATCGAAATTCCTAATCTTTAAGCAAGCTATGGCCACGTCGCATCTGTAAAGTTTAGAGCTCAGAGCAAATTAACGTCACAGCTCGGAGCAAAAGGGGGCTAGAGACTTACTACCACCATAATTGCAAACCGAGTCTTTAAGATAACGCGGCGACATGCGAGCGTCGTCGCGTGGGTACCGAGCCGTTCGAGGGTTATCGGAGAATAACCCCGTAAACGCGCGGGGTACCCGCGGGACGCGCGGATTTTCCCGCAGGGAAACGTATGTATGTATGTATGTATATCTCACCATGGTCGCGATCCCTTTGCAGTCACCGAGTCGGTCGAAGTGCGAAACCGGCGGCGAACGCACGCTTGAGAGAGAACTCGTGCACGTTGTGTAACCTAAACTGCGACCGGACCGGCGGCGAGGCGGAGCAATGCGCGCACGCGCGAACCGCGACGGCGACGTTCTCGAAGATTCCTCCCCCTCGCGGTTGCTAACATCACCTCCTTCCCCCTCGCCTAGCTGCACCGCTCTGTATCGCGCACACATTGATCATAACGAAAGAAAAGGATCGCGGGTGATTACGTAATATGAGCGTCACCGGTCCCCAACCAGCGACTAAACTTCTATTTCGTTTTCTTTTATTCGTCTCTTTTTTAGAATTTATGTTTTGGAATGCTTTTCAAAAATGCTGAGAAAAGTCTACAGTCTACATCTTTTCCAGAATCTTTATGTATATGTGAATTCTAAAATACTCTAAGATTTCTCGTTTTACAATTTCCGAAGAAGACTTATAAAATTTGAGGTTTATAAGATATTTTTTTAGAGATTTTCATAAATTTAAAAAATTCTTGAAAATATGAAATAGTTTATTAATCACTCTGTATACTCGATAGTTTTACAGGTGAATCAGGTGAATACTCCACCTAGACGGCTCCACTTTTCGCAACCTTTTCGTATCATACTTATATAGTGTCAATAAATAGAAATGAGAGGCTCGAATTCTTTTTCCTCGAATTTTAAGAGACCTGCTGACTTTAAAGGCAACGAATTCACTTGTATCTATTCCCGATCGTTCCGCCGCGAGAAAATCAAAGACGTGGAATAAAAAGGAAAAGAAAGAGTTTCATACTCAGATTAATTAAATCGGGACATATAAGACGTCTTAAATAAGTTAAATATGTCTTTAAGACTTTAACTTAGTCCAATGTCCTGATTTTGAACACGCGTGTTGTCTGAGACATCTTTAACATAACGCATTAATCCTTAATTCTCTCTTCTTCTCTCTATCAGGATTTATTTGATCAATTCAAGAAATGTATAAGAATTAGCATCGACAATCTTCGTCAATATTGTATATTTCAGAGTTTTCTTTCAGAAAAATGATCGATGGTCGACTTTCCGCCGGGGTGCCGATAACGCTGTAAATAATTTACAGCGCGAGATAAAAGAAAGATAAGATATAGAGTCAAACGCGTATAGTAAAAATACTCCTTCCTCTTAAATTCAAAATTTTAATGACGTAACCTACGAATGAATACAATAATGAAAACAATAATCATATGGAGTATCAGGATGCATCAGGACGCTCTCGTTTCTTCCAAAGGGGTTAGCAATACCATGAACGAATTTTTCGGCTGCATTCTGAATGAACTTGACCGAAATCGTAACTCCCCGACTAATCGTTTCCACGGAGAGATTCGCGGGAAGAAACCGTTACGTTTTACGACGGTGCAACAACGGAGGAAGAAACGTAAAAAAAATAAGTGTGATTGTCGGCGGCCGGCCGATTGCATCATACTGAATCGTCGTACTTTCTGGAACATACGGCACGCCGCAACTTTGTGCGGTACTCGGTCCGCGTCGCGAACAACCGGAGCCGAATCTCCGATTAGATGTCAAAGATAACTGCTCCAGCTGGCCTCCTGTCTCGGTCATTTCCCACACATGACATCAGATTAATCACCGAAGACCTCATTATTCGGGATTAACCCGTTGTGATAAGGTTAAGTTCAATCAAAGCGTTGATCAAGAAACGAGGTGGGGAGGGAGGAAAGGCTACCCATTCAACGCGACGGCGGAGTGCGGCGGAGGCATTTTCCCCACCGCTCAATTATATATTTACCACACGCTCAGAGAACCACGTGACTAGTCCGACAGACTCGTATTTGGGAGATACCAATGTAGACATTTTTGGGGCCTATATTTTTTTGTTTTTTTCTCTTTCTTATTGTTTATATTAGTATTAATAATGTATAAATATACAATTTTAAAAAATTACAAGAGTTATAAATTCTAAAAAGCGCGGCCCAAAAAAGGCGAATTTGTACATTTCAACTTAAAGCCATTTAAATATTCATAGATACATTTTATGTAGACGCGAAACAATTAGCTATATATTAATATAATCATCTATGTGAATTTGTGATAAGATTCAAGTTTCCGGCTTGACCCTAATTTACCGGAAGAAAATTAGGAAAACCTTTTTTATTTTTCAGTATAGTTTATTACAGCGATTTATTAAAATCGTTCGAAGGTCTCTGTAGTATCTCGAGACGTTGCATTTCATTAGCTGGATGAAATCTTAAGATGATCAGACTTTTATTTAAGACTTCCTTGGAGGTTTCTGCGGATTTTTACGTTTGAAATCCTTGTAATTCGAATTCTAATCAAAATTTTTAGATTGTAGTTAATATTGAAACATAAAAAGAGTTACTCCTTTCAGAAAATCTATAAATAGTCGGCGACGGAATGGGATATTTGCAACAAAAGATATAAAGGTTGAAAGTGTGACCTCTGCCTTTTTACTGACACATATTCAACTAATAAATGATTTCATCTATCTTTTCGAGTAGACTAAATCAATATATAATTATTATTATTTGAGTGACCTATAATAAAAATATTGTTATTGTTTTCAGATATCCCTCTCCATCGTCGACTAGAAAGAGCAACTCTTTTTACCCCTAAATACCACGTGCGATCTAAAAATTTTGATTAAGACCCAATCGTTCCAAGAATTTAAAACAGAAAAGCGCGTACCCCAGGTAGAACAAACTCATAATGACAACATGATAACGTCATCACGAGTCATGATGATGTCATTAGCTTCATGTTCTACCTGGGTAAGGACCTGGACCTCCTAGGACTCAATAATCTCTGAGGATGAAGGTAATCTCTCTCCTTGAACGTAAGATCGGACTTCGGACCCTTCGGACTATTGAATTCCGCCCTATGATGTATCGCGATATATACGTCACTGGGCGATCACCGGCGCGCACGCGTAAAAAATCCCTCTGTCTCCCGTCCAGTTTGCACCCATGTGATAGCGCACATTCTTCGTCTCCTCGCTCCACTCGTCTTCTATCCGCGAGACGTTCGGTCGCGCCGTGACGATCTTCAGCCTGCTCAGCTCCCGAACTCCCGACACCGATCGTCGATCGTCGTTCGTCGAAGAATCTTCCCTGAGAATCCAAGGTGAAGCCTGCACGCTCGAGCCCGCAACGATTCGCACCACGTGCTTCTCCGGAAAATTCGAGAAACTTCGCCGGCGGCCGGGGAGGGAGGGCGAGTTTCTACGCCGGCCGGGAATATCTTGCCGGCGATTTTTCGGGAGCGTCAACGAGAATATTCTCCTCTTTTCCTCGCGAAAAATTCGCGCGAGAGGAAGTACGTGGTCGATCGGACGATTTTCAGTCAGATCCCGCGATAATCTCGCCGGAACGTTAACCTTCAATCAAGTCGCGCCACGCGGGGACTTTTACATAACCGCGTTCTCGCCCCGGAAAATTTATTCGCGACGCGGCTTCAAGAAATTCGAGGCCTGTTTATTCGCCGCACTGGACTGCACTAAAACTTTCTCTCGCTTTCGCCAAACTTCAAAAACATATATCTACATATCTTAAATTTATTTCATTTTCATAACGATGTACGTTAATTAGTCCTCCGGCTTCGGTTACCCGTGATAAAATCGTTCTCGTACGATTTAACTTTTTTGGCGTCAAACGAGACACATTACGCGAGATATTCGAGTAACGTTCGAGGAATATGATGAAATAACTTTTTTTTGCATTTTATTATTTGTTTACGAGACGCGAAGGATATGCTTGCTATTAACCACTTATCTCGAGCAATTGTCTGTTATCCGTTCTGAGGCTTTAAGAATTAGATGTTCTTGTTTGAAATAATGGCAATGGAAAACGAAAACTGAAAGTGTTTTTAACAACTGCGTCAGAATTATTTAAGATTGAGCGTTACGAAAGATAATTTATTTTTAACTAATATATATTTTGTACATAATAATATACAGCACATACACTTGGCTTGGTTTGTTAGCCCCTTCTATCTCCTTTGTTTTTAATTTTTTTATGTTTTTATTTTAATATACATATTTTTTTATAGATGCATAGACTACCTACCATGTTGAGAGGAGTTGCCCTGCGCCAGTTGCAGGCGCGCACTTATGCCAAAGACGTGCGTTTTGGAGCAGAGGTTCGTGCTTTGATGTTGCAAGGCGTGGACATTCTGGCGGACGCCGTCGCCGTAACGATGGGCCCTAAAGGACGCAACGTTATCTTGGAACAGAGCTGGGGAAGCCCAAAGATCACGAAGGACGGCGTGACTGTGGCCAAGGGCATCGAATTAAAGGACAAGTTTCAGAATATCGGAGCTAAGTTGGTGCAGGACGTGGCTAACAATACCAACGAGGAAGCTGGAGACGGCACCACAACCGCAACCATATTAGCTAGAGCGATAGCCAAAGAGGGATTCGAGAAGATCAGCAAAGGTGCCAATCCTATAGAAATCAGACGAGGTAGGCCTCTCAATTTATACAATGAATAGTTTGTCTTTATGTATCTCGGAGAGTCTTGGGAAATGTTGAACTTTGACCTGAGCTTCGAGATAAATCAATGAGCAATCTATATGCGTCACTACATGCAATATTTTTATGAAGCATGAAAATATGAATGTTTCTCTGAAATAACGTTAAACAATCTGCGGTGTTCTAGGTGTGATGTTAGCAGTAGACAAAGTCAAAGACGAGTTGAAGACGCTGAGTAAACCTGTCACGACACCCGAAGAGATCGCTCAAGTGGCAACGATATCCGCTAACGGCGACAAAGCCGTCGGCAACTTGATCTCGGACGCCATGAAGAAAGTCGGAAAGGAAGGAGTAATCACTGTGAAAGACGGCAAAACGCTCACCGACGAGCTGGAGGTCATAGAAGGGATGAAGTTTGACAGAGGCTACATTTCGCCGTACTTCATCAACTCCAGTAAAGGCGCCAAGGTCGAGTTTCAAGACGCGCTTCTTCTCTTCAGCGAGAAAAAAATCTCTTCCGTTCAGAGCATTATACCCGCCTTGGAACTGGCAAACTCGCAACGCAAACCTCTCGTTATAATCGCCGAGGATGTGGACGGCGAGGCTCTGTCGACCCTCGTTGTTAATCGTCTGAAAATCGGGCTGCAAGTGGCTGCGGTTAAGGCTCCCGGATTCGGTGACAATAGGAAAGCTACCCTTCAGGATATGGCGATATCTACTGGCGGCATTGTGTTCGGCGATGACGCAAATCTCATCAAATTGGAAGATGTTCAGGTAAACATCTGTTCAATCTAGCAGTAGCTTAATCGTATCAATTCATTATTTCCGATAAGGATTACTATTTATCTCATACTCTGACGCAAAATTACCTTCAACACGCCAATCAACTTATAAATTGAGGCATTTATGGAATGTGAAAATCGAGACTGACTATGAGTTGTGATCACTCTCATAAATATCATCACATGCCTGATTAGTTTAGACGCCCGCACGGAATGTAGGGAGATTCAGGTTCGAATCCTGGCAGGGGTGTTATTTTTCGCAACATGCTACATCTTGTGGATACATGATTATTAATTTAATTATGTGATGTACTGTTTTATCTTTGATTGAAGCCACGTTTAGAGTTTGAGAGTAATGGCGCGTGGTTTGCTAGGGCGATTACGTATACATAAATTCACGCGAATAATATTAGGCAAGATTCAGTTCTGACTGTGAACAGCTTGTTCTTTAATTTAATTGCAAATCGAAATCTCTTGATTGATAAGCAACTACTCTATCACTAAATTATCCAGCGCCTTAATCATCTGACACTTGAATGAATGTAATACTTTTTTCTCTAGCCAAGCGACTTGGGTCAGGTAGGAGAAGTTATAATCACAAAGGACGATACTCTCATTCTGAAAGGAAAGGGAAAGAAGTCTGATATTGATAGGAGAGCTGATCAGATCAGGGATCAGATCGAAAACACCACGTCCGATTATGAAAAGGAGAAACTGCAGGAACGTTTGGCAAGGTTGGCGTCCGGTGTTGCCGTTCTGAGAGTTGGCGGAAGCAGCGAGGTGGAAGTTAACGAGAAGAAGGACCGTGTGCACGACGCACTCAACGCTACTCGCGCCGCCGTCGAGGAGGGAATCGTTCCCGGAGGTGAATTTGGATCTTCGTCTACTCGTTTTCGCGTATCCCGCGTACATATTAAATTTATCATCACTTTCTTGCAGGTGGCACCGCGTTATTGAGATGCATACCGGCGCTACGACAGCTGAAGGCTGTGAATGGCGATCAGGAGACCGGAATCAATATCGTGGCGAACGCTCTGCGTATGCCATGTCTGCAAATCGCGCAGAACGCCGGCGTCGATGCCAGTGTTGTGGTGGCCAAAGTAAGCGAGGGCAAGCTCGGCTACGACGCCCTGAAAGGCGAGTACGTTGACATGATCGAAACAGGCATCATCGATCCCACGAAAGTTGTACGCACGGCACTTACGGACGCTGCCGGCGTGGCGTCGTTGCTGACGACGGCGGAGGCGGTGGTCACTGAGATACCCAAGGAGGAACCGCAATCGCCGATGGGCGGTATGGGCGGTATGGGTGGAATGGGCGGCATGGGTGGCATGATGTAAAGAGAGAAACGCAAAGACTGAGCAAAAGAGACAGTCAGTGTTGCGATCTTGTTCGTAATGAAACGTGATTATGCTGCGCGAAACATTGTTCAAATAGTTCCAAACGTTGATTCCGTTCGAACGGAATAGAAGAGATATCCGGTCTTGTACAATTTGTACTTTGAAACATTACAGGCGATAAAATACCACTCGTGTATTATGAAACACTGTTCCCTTTTGTTTTGCTGTAATTATTGTTACAGAATCCATATGAGATCGCTTGTTTTATTTTATTCAATAAACGCATGCGGTGCATACACACAAATGTTTCAAATACAAATGCATTTACTAATGTATAAAAAAATAACTACGTGAAACGAACTTGTTAACATGTTTATAAAGAATGTAGAAATACGATGAATTGACAATTCAACCAATTACACGATAATAATTTTTAAACCAATTTATTCTGTCCATCGTTATGTTCCCGATATTTCAGATTATAATTGTTTCACGAAAACCAGACACGAGAACGAGTAGTTTGTTCAATATTTTATACAGTTTTCTAGTTATAGTAATCATTAAAGACGCAAATGTAAAAATGAATATGTATTAACTGTGTGAGAGGTTAATTATTTAGGCTTTCATAATTTTGTAATTGTTGAATTTATTTTCCGTCTAAATAAATGTATGTTTAAATTACAATTACAATGTCCCCATGCGCGGTACTTAACATTATAAGTTATATGGCAAATGAGCAAATAATTAAGAAGATTGATAAGTACAGAGAGAAGAGTTTTATTAGAATGAATATAAATATATATTATTACATTATTATTAATTGTGTTCGTTCTTTTTAAACGATCATTGAAACGCAATAGATACAAATGACAAAACAATCTTTTAATCATAAGGAATTTGTTGCTGTCGCCTTTCTTATTCAAGGCCTATTCCACCGTAATCATCTGAAATATCGATCTATCGACATTTATATTTTCAGAATACGCTCGTGAAACTTTAAACTTATTTTCTGAAACTATAAACATTTCAAAAGATATTCAAGTTGATTAAATCATACGTGCGCGATTACTCAAAGAGACAAATGTAAGACAAAAAATATTCGCGTTTTTCTGTTTTTTTCCATATTAATATAGATAAAATATCTTTGTTTTTAATTTTTTACGTAATCTGTTGCGTAAATTATATTATAATGTCAAGTACATTAAGTGCGTTTCTATTATAAATAAAATTATACGGTCGGAAAAAAATATTCCGCTAGTTTTTCTTCGGAAAAGAAAGCTTAAGTGAAACGAAATTTCAATGCAGTTTGAGAGATCAATATATTTTACCTATACGCGTGCATTCGGCACATGCGACAAAAATATCCAATTTTGAATCGCCTTATTATGATCCAATGAAACATAGAAAATGTCCAAAAAAGAATGAAGTATGAAACAAAAGAAAAGCGATTTTCTAACGTAGTTAACTGATTGAAAAAGAAAAAATATCCTTTTTATATTCAAAATACACAAAGAGAAGTCCGATTTAAAAAATATTATATTAAAGCCTAGATACATTCATAATAAAAGCATAATATTAGCCTAAGCTCCGATTTTTTCGATCTCATCCGCATCTTCCGCGTCAAGATAATGTATCTTCTTGCCAAAGTGTCTCTCTATGTCTTTGCACAGTTGCATTGCCTTCGGCGAGTCGATTAAATTAATGGCGATCCCCGATTTGCCGAATCGCCCTGTTCTTCCGATTCTGTGCAAGTACGTCTCACAATCGGCTTGCTTTTTTTGGTCCATCGGCAAATCAAAGTTAACCACTATCGTCACCTGCTCTACATCGATGCCTGCCAAAAGTACCATACATTTTATTATAAATATATTATCATTATACTACGCTTAGGTACAGGTACAGGCAAAAGTTCAGGAATTATGTATTTGCTACATATTACATTTCTTCGTATTTACCTCTAGCTAAAACATTCGTAGTGACAAGAACTTTCTCAAGTCCTGCTCTAAATCTATCCAGCACAGAAATCCTTTGTTCGACTGTCAAGTCCCCAGACAATATTGCTACCGCATGCCCGTCTTTCGTCATTTTCTCTGCTAACCAACTGGCTGTATTTTTCGTCTGAAAAGTAAAGTAATGTATTTTGTTACAAATGAGTTGCTTATTTAATGGATTTAATGAGTATTCAATATACGATCGCGATCTTACGTGACAGAAAATAATCGCTTGTCCAATGGTGATCACGCCATAGATATTAGTGATAGCCGTATATTTTTCGTCTAAATTTTTGCACTTGATATAGTACTGTTTAATATTATCCAAACTCTCTTCTTCTCTTAATAATCGTATTATTAGCGGATTACTGACTATAATCTCCGCAAAGTTCATCACTTCTGGCTCGTATGTCGCAGAGAAGAACATCATTTGACATGTACGTGGCAGTAATCTATGCATAAAATAAATGATGAATATCTCACGTGAAACATAGATGTATTCAGTCATGCAAATATTAAACATCTCGAGAAGATTACTTGTGAATACGGATACACTGATCTTGATGGCCTTGTGTAGCGATCATAACGTCAGCTTCGTCCAATACAAACACTGATATTTTGCTTAGATCAAAGAATTTAAACTTTTGTCCCCAATCAAGCACTTTACCCGGAGTTCCTATAATAATGTGATCGGTGATCTTCGAGCCACGGCTTACTGTAACAATTAAAGCGATATTAAGAGAGTATCTTAACAGCAGAAAATTCAAATTATATAAGAAAACGCTGTATTACTTTCTTCTCCTCTCACAGCGTACTTAATTTTTATCTCAGGGCAAAAGCGCGACATCCTCGCCGCTACTTCGCCAGTTTGGATCGCCAGCTCGTAAGTCGGCGATAAACAAAGTACCTGTGGGTAATCTTTTGCGGGATCTACCCGACTCAACATGGCGAGTACGAACGCGGCCGTCTTACCCGTACCAGATTGGGATTGCGCAATCATGTTCTGCGGCCTAGAAAGAATTTCCTCATAAAATATGTTTTAAGAAAGGCTGAAAGTAGTCTCTGATAAATGCTTACGGATCGGCGAGTAAAGTGGGTAAAGCGGTTTCTTGAATTCTCGAGGGTGCATTGAATCCCATAGCGTAAACACCTTTTAACAAGGCAGGTTTGCTGTATGCAAAGTAAAAAAAAATACAATCTACATACATATATACCATTATATTGAATTAGGTGATAAATAATTGTAGTAGTAAACGAGTGGATCTAAAGGCCTATTTGTTTTCGCTATACTTCTGAACTAGTGCAATAAGTTAGAATGAAATAAATATATTTTCTTTCATTCTAACTTATTGCACTAGTTCAGAAGTGCAGCGAAAACAAACAGGCCTTAAATCAGGTCCTCTCGTCACGACTAAAAGTTAATTATATATATGTATATATAAATTATTTACAGATGAAGTGCGTCAAAGGTTTTGACACTGTATAATGGCGAATTTGGATCCTTCCTTTGAACCTCTACAGCCTTTGTCGTCTCGACCAATCCTTTCCTGATAATTTTCTGCAGGAGCGACTTTTCCGCCGGTGAGATCTGCTCCTCCGACGTATCGTCATCGCTCTTGACGTCTCCATCTTTCACAGATGGGGTAGGGACGGGTGTTGAGTTCGGTTTATCCAGGTTCAAACTCGTCACCTAAGCATAATACATATGGTTAATGAACTTTTTGCATCTGGCCTCACGAAAAACTAGTGCTCAGTTCCCTGCTTCAGATATGACAAACACATGTGTAGCATGTTTCTACAAATAAGATCAGCTGTACAAGAGATGAATTATCATCCTAGGGAGTTAATAAAAACAAAACAACGTATAACATAACAACTCATGATAAGCCTATGAGTCAGGAGGGTCAGGAGTCCGCTGAGTGATAACACCCTGCGTACTATGAAAACAGGTGTCATGAGCAACAAAAGAATCACGCCGGTGCAACGTATCCGTGGACAGTCCCGCCTTACCTTCGATGCTAATTTGTCCTGTTCGTCGGCGTACTGTCCCCAGTCGACCTTAGTCGAAGCCATATCTGCCGACCGCCTGGCACGTAACTGCGATAGAGAAACACGTTCTTTGAACTGATTGTCAGGATAAATCTCCAAAACTCGAGTATATATTTGCTATCCCGGTTAGCCAAGAAATCCAATCGCACGCGTTACACGACAACCTCTTTACACTCTCGAGTCTCGAAACTCCCGAACCTGAACTCCGGATCCAGACCCCGAACTCGAGTCTACTCACTCTAGTCACTCTACTCTCGCGCGTCCCGTCACGAAGATAAAAACGCTCTTGTTGTTGGTAATACACTGATGTTGCGCGCGATACAAAGTGATTGGTAAGATTGAAAAATGGAGGCGGACGCGTTTGTAGGCCGGTCTACAATGGTCGCGTTCAGCAGACCAAGCTGCTCAGTAGCGGTCAAACATGATTGGCTCTTACTTTTAGAATCAACCAATCGACGCTGAGTGTTGATAAGACGAACTCAACAGTTGTGTGTCTGCTAAATGCGCTTAATGGATTTTTACCGGGGAAATTTAGACAATGGCCGCATTCAGGAAACACAACTGTTGAGTGAGCGGTCAGTGATTCTTTAATGTGATTGGTTCTTACCTTTGGTTCTACTCCGGATCTAAGTGTAAGAACCAATCATAATGAGCGCTCATTCAACAGTTGTGTTTCCTGAACGCGGCCAATACGATCACGGAATATTTGGTAATAAAAATGTATGCGGCACATTTACTCCACCGAGCTACGATTTGAGCAAGATCAAAGTACTTACCGGTCTATTTGTACTACAGTGAAAACGATTGGTTGGCAAATGTCAAGGTTCGTGTTTCTTTATATACATAGCGATTATCTCGAGTACCTACGATGTGTCAGGATAATTAGAGTATCTTTTTATTTGACGTTCTAATGCTGGGGGAGGGGGGGGTTAAATGTTAAAGTGATCTTACGGTCCTTGTTGACGCTTAATTGTAATGAATAAGTTATAATTGAATTATATAAGTTGAAAAAATCGATTTTCTTCTATCGTGATGCTGGCACTGAAATGTAGTCAGTGATTATTTGAAACATATTGTTAGTGTTTAAGCATCAAATGCAATTGTACGTTACCGTCAATGTTGGTAATTATATTTTGATTCTTTTTGTAGGACGTGGAAAAGTTGTACAGCGAACTAGGCAATCCCGCCCGTAAAATCTTAGTAGCAGATAAGAAATTTAATCATTTGGACTACATGTGGGCAGTGGGCTAAGGATGTGAAGAAGATCGTGTACGATCAGATAATCAGTCAAATGAAGAAGTCGTAATAAAGTATAATTGCTACACAGTGTTAGGATTGTCTCATCCCGAGATTAACGCTTGTGCTCAATATAATTCGATATATACCGGTTTGAATTATCAATCTCTTGTCAATAAAGTTCTAGATAAGAATGCCCAATCATCGCCAGATACGTATACCCGCATATGCGCTAGCGATCCTGAAGGAAGATAAGGAAAATGTAAAATGTTAAAAATGGCATGAAATTTATAATATAATTTTCTTTACAAATAATGTTTGCATACGTCAAATACGCGATGCTTTTTTGTTAACCGTTCAAAACCGCGCGGTTTTTCTGAAACCGATCGAGTTTATAATGCTGATTGAAAAATTTATATCAGCAATCAATAATATCTATACTCTCCTTATTATAATGTCTAATTCGTGTTCAAATACCACTTTCGGTGGTATTGATGTGTTTAAAAAAAATTTAATTTATAAAATATATGCGATATAAAATAAAATTAATTATTAACATGTAATACGCGTTTCCCTTTTTACACCTGATAGATTTTATCATCGGCTATTCATATTATGTATTATCGCTATATTAACATTTTTATACGATGAGCATTTTTTCATTTAGATAAAAATAAAAAATATTTATGCTATTTGTTCGGTATTTCTCCATATAGCCGACTTCAACAGAATAGTTTTATTTTCGTTCGAAAGAAGAACTTTCATTTCTGGGTTATTATTACATCACTATATTAATCTAGATACAATTGCTATTCTCTTCTATGCTGATGTATTGTTGCGAATAACTTTATTTTATATGCAAATCATTACATGTTATCTTATATGAAATATACAATTTTTCATCATATGTACAGATGAATTCATAAATAATATTTTATCGCATTCAGTATATGTTTGAATGTTTCAAAAACTTATCTTTACATCATTGTTTCATTGGAAACTGAATTTTTTTTAAATTTACAAGTTTCTGCAGTATATATTTGTGGAAATATATGTATATGAATGTGTGTATGTGTGGGTGTGTGTGTGGATATATATATATAAAATATAGATACATATTTTTTTTATATCTCTATTAAATAGGTTTGATGAACCTTGAACCGAGGAAAGTGGCATCTAGGAATCCGCGGTTTACATCAAATTAACATTAAAGATATACTGAGGATATCTCGACACATTCTTTCTTTCCCCTTTAGGATTTCTTTGTGACCGCTGTGACCGCTTTATTCCCGGATGCACTTTGCGGCACGAGACGTACGGTTATCAGCGATAAATCGAGCATTTTACGCTGGTATTTCTTGTGAAACACCATAGCGGCAGATTGCGTCTTAAACACAATGGTCGCACTACCCTCGCCCATGCGTATGCTCTATAACACGAAGAATAAAGAAGACACTGGTTATTAAATTATCGAGTATATATCGTTTATTTAAAATAAGTATAAATCTATAAAAAGTAAAAAAAGCATAAATTTTGAGATGAATGTTGGATATTATCCACGCTACATACAAGAGAAATAAAACGAGTTAATGTAAAGTTGTCAACTGAGCAATCTAACGATTGTCTTATGGAATTTGTGAATATTTTTAAATTACACTAACTGTTTTAAACCTGTATTAAAAATTTACATGTTTTGTTACATCTTTAAAGCTTCTGAATTATATTCTACACATGAAGAAAATAATACTGAGAAAATTATATGAACTAAAATGATACATATACATATGTATACAGGGTGACCCACATGACTCTTTACAGCTAGATATCTCGAAAACTAATTCATCGATTTTAAAGGTTTAGATCTTGAATCGTATGGACCTGAAGGGCCTTCAAACTGGAATGGAGGTTGGCCTTAACCCGTTTTGCGTGGGTAGAACAGGGATCAACTTTAAAATTTTTAATAAAAACTCATATAAAAAATTATATTTTTAAATTCTGTGGAAGAAAACAACTTAGTTTTGTTTGAAACATTTTTTTTGTTAGATGCTTCTATTGAAAATATGACGGTGTAAAGTTTCGGCTTATAGCTACATGAAACATTTACAAACTTCGATCCTTCAATTTGACACTACTAGACTATTTTTTTGGGGATGTGTTAAAAAGAAAGTTATGTTTGAACTGCCGACGACGAAAAAATATGAAGCAAAGGCTACGCGACGCTTGCACGTCAGTGACTCCCGAAATGTTATCAAATGTTAGGAATAATTTTTTAATTCGGCTAAATAAATGTTTGTAAGTCCATGGTGGACAATTTAAACATTTAATAAATTGAATCAATCTGAAGAGTGTTGTAATTTTGATTTCGTAAATGCTTCATGTAGTTAGTCGAAACTTTTTACTAGTCATATTTTTTGATAAAAGCATCTAACAAAAAAAAATGTTTCGGACAAAACTAAGTTGTTTTTTTTCCAATCATAGAATTCAATTTTATCAATTTTTATAGAAGAATATTATCAATTTTTTCTAGAAGTTTCCATTAACAATTTTAAAGTAAAGACCCCTGTTTCATCCATGCAAAAGGAGTTGAGGCCAATCTCCATTCCAGTTTAAGGGACCTTCAGATCTATATAATTCAAGACCTAAACCTTTAAAATCGATTAAATAGTTTTTGAAATATCGAGCTGTAAAGAGTTATGTAGGCCACCTTGTATATAATTTTAGTATATACGTATATATGTAATCAGAAATGTAGTCAGAATTTGGTATTAAATATATTTTTTAATGTGTGTGTAATATATGTAATCTATAACTACATAATATAGCATTCATATATTATAAAAAATTTCCTTTTTCAAATAACGACATTCCAATATTTATATATTATAGATATTATAACAATCTCTAATGAAACTGTACTAAGAAACTGTTAAGAAAACGTACTAATCGTGTCAGCATATGCACATAACTCAATAAAATAGAGAATTTATAATATATATATATAAAACTCTATATAAAACAAATATTTTAGACAATAAAGAAATATGTGTTATAAGAAAAAACTGAAATATTTTTTATTTCTAATACATATCTTTGGAATGAGTATAATTATAATACATATCTTTAGAGTTAACAATAATAAAATTAAAAACTAAAAGAACAATCGACAGAATATAATGTATATGGAATAACAGTCTCCAATACTTTAAAATTAAAGTAAATTTTATAAATTCTTTCATAAATCTATCATGGGAATGATATCTCATACCCTGAGATCTTATACCCTGTATCTTTGTTTGAAATCAGTATTTAATCAAATAAAACTAGCGATTTTTATGTAGAAATATATAAAAGAAATGCATGCGGAAATAAATCATAGCCTTTTGAAATCTCTAAGTAAATCTAAGCATAAATATTTTCCACAATCATAAAAACGTAAAAACAGGAAAGTATATGAGACGTGCGTAATAAGAGTGATAAGGATTAACAAAAATGTAGATGTGCCAGGTGAACACTTTTCATGTAAATATAGTCACCTCAATGGTTCCGATGGCTTGACACATACGTCTGATTTGGGTCTCAGACGTGCTCGCGGCCAAATTTTCTAATTTAACTGTGTTTGTCTTTATCTCGGGTAACTTTTTCGCTTGAACCGCAGACTTCTGCAGCACAATTCGCTGGGGATTTTGCTGCGCATTCGTGACTTTCTGGCCGTGAACATTTGCGCTGTCATTAATCACGGTCTTTTGCAGACCACCCGGCGTTTTATGCGCTACTATTCTCTGATTGACGACTGCTGCTTTCGAACCGACGACCGCAGACTTTTGTAACATATTACCCTGATTCTGTAAAACTTTCTGCGTCTGTATGACTTGCGTATTAGATATTTTCTGCTGTAGTCCCTGACTCTTTTGCAGATTGGAGACAGTTTTTTGAATCGTTGTGGCGATCTTTTGTGAATTCAGCAGAGGCTTCTGTATCACAACTCTTCGCACGCCAGACTGTTGCACCACTTGCCTTGTTTGTATAATATCGCTGGCTTGATTAGTCGCATGTGCGGAATTACTTTTTGAACCACTCATGTCGGATAAATCGTTGGTTTGTATCGTTCTGATAATTCGCACATTAGAAGGTCTGTCCACTGCCTACAACAAAAACACTTCATTTTAGAGAAAAATTTACTACGCAGAAGACAAGTTAATTGCTTTTAAAAAAGAAAAGATATTGACAACATAAAACTAGTTTTAATTCTAATATCTGCATCTTCTAAACAATGAAAGAAGTAACTTTAATTAAAAATCTAGCGAACTTTGAATCTTAAAGTTAACACACGTCTCTCAATTCGGAGGAAATAAAAGAAACAAAATTTATTGAAAAAACATATTTTATTAAAACATAAAGAAAATGTACAGTGACATCTAATTGTTCGTATAAAGAATTATTTATATTATTTTAAAAAAATCACTAATTTATTTTAAAATGTATATAATTATAATTAGTGATAATTAGTGTAAATGTTTAAAAAATGACATTTTCTTCCACTAATACTTAATGAATGTACAGTAATATTGCGATTCTGAGAGAATAGTTTTAATTAGTCTAAAAAACCGATCTATGGTCACTCTTTACATGCACATAAGTACTTATACATAATTTACGTGATATTTACAAGTATTGTAAAATGTGTTTAAAAAAGTATCATTTAACGAATATTATCACTGGATGACTTATTTCTGTTATCTATATTTGATTTATACTGATGCAGGAATAGAAATTTGATCGTTATAAAAATCTTTCTTTTTACACACATACACACGCATATACTCATGGACTCACGCGCGCAGATACGTACACACATACACACAAAAGATCTACACATTCACGAGAGAAAGAAGAGATATATTGTACAATTGTACAGCTGACAATTGCATAATCTTGTTATCCTATTGTTCAACATTAAACAATTAAACAGGATTGAAGAATGCAACATAATGATACATTTAATGTTGTACCTCTGTGCTCTGTGTATTGACAGGACGATTGCGTCCTTTGGCAACAACAGGGTGAGTTTTAACAGCGCTGTCATTTACAAATCGCGTCGGCACAGGTTTCGCTTCTTGCTGCGTATTCTCATTTGCTGAAATATTTCAGTCGTATCGTTGTAATCGATAATGAAACAGGGGATACGTCTATAATTCTTGTATGATATATGAATAGAACTGTAGAAATAATAATACAATTTACCTGCGGCAATACTCGAGTCAGTCTTCGCATCCTCATTTTGTTTCTCTATCGCGGCCATCTTACGCCTGTTCTCCTTCTCACGTAACAATTTTTCTCGAAGTCGTTTTTGCTCCTCCATTTTCTTGCGGTATTCCTGCATCTCTGGATCATTATCTTCTTCCTGAGATTATAATTCCGCGATATATTTAAAAGCTATTGCTTCGAAAGATATTGTTCGTAGAATGAGAAATTTACCTTGTCAGCAACGGTTTCATTTACTGTATCTACTCTTCGCACCTCTTGAAGATTTCTGTTAGGCGGCTTACTGCGTTTCGGGCTCATTTCCCGCGGCCCTTTATCCAAGGAGTCAGAAATCCTCTTTTGTGGAAGCCTGCTCACTCCGCGAGACGCAACGTTTATCGGAGGCCTAGAGGTCTTTTGGTCATAAGGATCGCTGCGATACACATTCGGCGGCGTTCTGCTTCTCTGCACGTGATCGTTTCTTGTTCGTAGCGGCAAATCTCTTTCTCGGTAACTCTGTTGAGATCCTCTGTGATCCTGATATCATGATAAAATGAATGAGTATTGTAAAAGTAAGCAAAATAATGCAAATATTATTTGAAAATTATAATATTTACCTCTTGATAATTGTCCTTTTGATCCCATTGACCCTCCGATTTATATTTACTATCGCTATAATTACTTTCGCGAGAATAATTGCTATCTGAAGGATAATGCTTGCTCGGCGGGCTCATATTTTGAGGTCTCTGTGGTCTATTTTCTTGCCACACGTCAGAAAAATATGCATACGGGTCCTATGATAAAATTTAATTACTTGCAATTTATCCATTTGATTTATTAATTTTGCGTTATGCAATTACTTACATCACTTTTATTTTGCTGATAGTTCTGTTGATAGTTCTGCGATGGACCTTGTTGAGGAGACTGATTGTACGATCCCTGATTCTGATACGACGGGTGAGGTTGTGGAAATTGCCCGCTGTGAGAAGCTTGTGGTTGGACTTGCTGATTAGAATCCCATACGAGTCGAGCTAAATGCATTTACCATAAAAGAGGAATACGAGATACTAATCAATCAGAGATACTAATCAATTACGTAATTGAATTCAATACATAATTAATGTTCGTTAAAAGAACTCACAGTCGTTCGCAGGCTGAACGGTGCCTCTGAAATGAGGGTTTATTAGAATCTTGTGGCCTGGAGGCAAAGACGACACACTGTGTGACACATTAGATACCGACTGTTGTGGTACCGGTGGCATCGTATTATTAAATTGGCTATTGGGTACTTGATCGGGATGGTAACCAGCCCTTGCGTCGTAGGCGCTTCGGCCTTCGAACTGCGGTTCTTGGAACGGCGGCAGTCTGTTCTCGAAGGGCGGCTGACTAGGAATTTGCACGTTCGGCGGCAGGTTTTGCATGGGTGGACCCTGGGCGGGCTGCTGGCGCGGGAATCCCTGCATAGGCGGCATCGGCAGGTTTCCCCCCGGTGGCAGCATATTCGGCGGATTCCCGGGCAGCAGCATGTTCGGATTACCGAGGAGCGATCCACCACCCGGGTTACCTTGCAATAAAGGCCCCTGATTACCCTGCATCGGCCGGTTCTCCTGCATCAGCCGGTTCTCCTGCATCAGCCGGTTCTCCTGCATCGGCCGGTTCTCCTGCAACGGCCGGTTCTCCTGCATAATGCCAGCTGGATTTTGGAACGGCGGTTGCATCGGCGGTTGCGAGTGATACGGTGGCTGATTGGGCGGACAATTATAGTTCGGTCCCTGCATTGATCCCCCTGTCAAAGGACCTCTGGGTCCATACTCAGGTAGCCTCGAACTAATTGGCCGCGGTCCCAAAAGGCCTTGGAACTGTCCGGGATTGAACTGCGGCCTATTCTCCACGAATTGCGCCGGCGGCGGCCCTTGCATCGGACCATTCGGGCCGAAGGGCTGTTGAAAGGATTGTTGTGGATTAGCTTGTTGGTATATTAGCTGCTGAGTTTGTATGTTACTTGGTACGCCAAGGAGAGAACCACACGGTCTGGTCTGTATTAGTGGCGGTCTGCACGCAGGCGGTTGATTTTCAAAACTCGGCCGTGTCGTACCAAACCTGCGGGATGTAAAACTGTCTTAGAACATCCGAGTGAATAAGAGACATAAACAGATAACACCGTTTTCTTTCGTTTCTTTATTCATTTCATTATTATTCTTATTAATTATAGGGCCCTTAAGCTTATTATTAAAGCCAAATGTTACCTTGGATTGAAATTTCCAGTATTTTGTAAAATAAATCGTCCTCCTCTGCTTCCTCTTGTCCCACGACCCCGTCCTCTTCCTCTGAACGGCATTCTGGATGGCTCCGATGTGAGGACGTTCTCTAAGGTATCCGGAATATCATTGTTCATCTTTGGAGAAATCATCGTGCGCTCGTTTTGAAATCTGTTCCGCCTTTCCTTCGCCTCCTCGCAGTCGTCATCTTCCATTCCTTGCCCGTTGCCGACGTACATGCTCTTCTGTACATTTTTCTGCAACTTCTCGCGCAGATCACCCTTGCCGATATTAGAAATGTTAACGCTACTCGATTCCGAATTTCTGCTGGACTGAGGCAACGCCTCGTGCTCGTTCGCGTAATCGGCATTCTCGTCCTGCTCGTAATACGACGACGTCGACTGTGCCTCCGGATGGTCGCCGTCTTTATAGAAATCGTTATCGCTACGTTTATCAGTATTGCCTCTACTAAACTCTATATTTTCGTCTTCGGCGTCTAAGTCGTCGAGCGCGTCCGTGACTCCTAAGTCCAGTACATCATCTGTTTCCTCTTCTCCCTTATAGCTATTCTGCTGCTCGGGGAATCAAATTGCCAGATATTTGTAATGCAAATACGAAATTTATCCATTATAATGTAGTTATATAATCTATATATCATTAACGTATCTAAAGTTGTGCGTATATGGAATATCCTCCGTTCTCTGCTCGAGTGAAACATAAACGTGTTGGTATAAATATATACATTCGCACAAGTTCAAGTTCCCGATGTATGTCTGTATATAATCCGTTCAGCATGTAAAACGTGATTTTCAATGACTTCCATCTTCTTAAAGATTTTTCTCTCCGCCTACTACATTCGTTAACATACTCGAAAAAAGCATGCTCTTATCTCTAACGATAATAATAATGAAACACAAATCTTATAAAGAAGCGTAACCGATGATAGCGGCAAGTCCGAGTACACAGCAGTAAAAAAATGTAAGTGTATGCGGTACGATATATTATCGGTAAAAAAAAAAGAAATGTAACGTGGGACAAATAGTATCGTATAACAATCGAATGATATCTCGAGTGATCTTTATATGTGATAAAATTTTGCTTATGCCTCGCGGAAGAAGACTCGTATATATATATATATCAGTGCAATACAATATAATTCAGCTATAACTCAATATATACATGCAGTTGTACGATTAAACTGTATAGACACAATTTACAAAGTTTACGTTTACTCTTTCCAGATTTCAGCATATATTCACAATGCATTCGTAAAACTCTATTGTATATCATGTAAGCTGTAATCAGACACAAGTTACTTTCACTATATTCAATAAGCTTCAATATTTTAAAATATACGTTGTCTAATTTCGATCGTTATATAAAAAAGTTCAATAAAGTTAGAATACATCTCATTGCGTCGATATAACTGAATTATTTTTTGCAGCGTCTATTCATCGGCTGAACTAGGATACTTAATACTAAAAATCGCGGTACAATTTCGCATTAAGATTGCACGCGGTAACTTTTCACAACCGCTACGTTGTGGGAAATCGAGACGAAGTCTTCTAAGATTAAAATATCGAGATGGCTTAATGTAAATATTTACGTCATCACAAAGATTTCTTCACATGTATAATATACGCGTGTATTTATTGAACTACAAACATTTCCTTTATTAATTGTTGGAATTTATAAATTGCAAAATAAAATAAAAATTTATTCTCACGCAAAAGAAGCAATCATTTATTATTATAAAATATTAGCGCTTCGAATAAATGAGAAAATAAATAATATTTTTCCTTTTGTACAACGCAATTATACATTTTTATATTCATTACTTCACATTAAGCCATTCAGAGTAACAAACTCTTTTAAAGAACAAAGCGAAATATAATCATAGAAATTTACATTTGCAATCAGCAGGATGTTAAGTTGCGTACCGTCAATCAATTGTTTAAATGGGATTGCAAACATTGCACGCTTTTTCCGTTCAATTATCGTTGATTCCGCTTGAGATTCTTAATTTATAATCGCATTTACACGGCAGGTAAAATAAATACACATAGCACTTATATTATTAAATAAACATCTTTTAATACAATATTTGTCTAAAAATTTATATAAATTTGAACATGCGTTGCGTTGTGGCTCAAAAACATTTTAAAACAAATCTAAATATCTCAAGCTGGTATCTCAAGCAAAAAATAACATGTTTTTGTCCCAAAACAAAATGTGGTAACTTTTATAACTTTTTCATGTATAATAAATTAACGTTATTCATTTCTAGTTTATAATGTCTCTCTAATGTCGGAGCGTTTTATCAGCAGCTATCTGTATTCTTTTTACCTGTGTAATTTTATAACTGTCCATCGACATTAAATTACATGCTTACACCAAGCGTACATTTTTCATGTGCGACAATTTTCATTAAACATTTATATCCGGATAAAAAAGATGGTTCGTACTGAACCATTGAAGTCGTAGTTTAAGTACAGTCCTGTGTCATATATCCCTGTGTAAAAAGTATGTATTTCCATTTGGAAAAGGTCTATTCGTGACTATTGAGAAAATATCCAGCGCGACAGATATTACGTAGCATATATGAATATATCTACATATATTAAACTATATATATATATGTGTGTGTATATACAACAGTTATATATCGCGCATGTTTGAAGTTCTGGATTTGTATGCGATAGAAGAGAATACATGAGAGAGGATCAAGTTTCTTTCCTGGTACAGTCAACGGTTCCTTAACACAATCGGTATTGCGGTTCTCTGGGGTTCTCTTAACTCATGCACAAAACGCATTAAAAATTTTTAACAAGTAACAACAACATATATGAAGAGTACAGGAGAAGAACGATAAATGTCCATCCGTAGTAATTTCGAGAAAAATTTTAAAGTTTCAAGACATCAGATAGTTTATGTATTATAGATTTTCTGACAGTGAATATCGAAACGCGGCCTTTAAGGGTTCATTTAGTGTTTATATTGTATATTGGATTCTGATGGTTCTTTTCTACAAGTGCATGGACTATGATGTTTTTCCCAGCATAGTACAATTCTTCTGACAAATCAAAACAGATAAGATTTAGGTAAGTTGTTTGAAAATGTCACATGATAGCATGATCAGACCAATTTAGACAAAAAGTGGACTTTGATCGTTTTTCTCCTGTACTCTTCATATATATGAATTATAAGTCTCGATACGTCATAGGTATTATTGTATGAAATTAAGGAATTTCAAGCCTTGCGAGCGACATCAATGTCTAACTCGTGCGCACTAAAATCTCTCATAAGAAACATTTTTATGGAAAACGAAAACGTTGTTGCTTTTAACGCTTAAATCTTTTTTGTTCTTTTTACTTTAACGCTATCTGTTCGATCATCTGCAATAATGATAGTTGTGGAAACTATCCTCGATACAAGTTAGCTTAACGAAAGCGACAATAAATAAGGATCTAGAAATGAGACAATATCCATTAAGGCATCATCGTATAAAGGATATAAACATAATCGAGAGAGAGAGCCGAATATGTCAAAGAGGGTGTAAGATTTCATCCGTCCGAAAAATAATGGGCAAACGGCATGCTTACCCTTTCCAGTTCATAGTCATCTGCTAGGAGAGCCTCCTCCTCGTCGTTACCCAGATCATATTCCTCGTCCCCAAGATCTTCGTCCAGTAAGGTATCGTCACTGAAAGAATTAACGAGAATTGTGACATTTTACGAGAATCGCGATCGCGAGATCGGACTCGACGGAGAAGAGGAATCCCCTGCTTTCCAAAGTGACAACAACCTACGTCATTGTTGGAAGCGTTCGCGATCCTAACCTATTCGCGTCCCGAACGCGATCGCGTCGATTCGAAACGACCGCTTTCTACAGTAGTCTCAATAGTGAATTACAGAAATAGAATTTAATCCAAAGTTAATCGTGTGATCTTTCGAGACGAGAAATGTTAATACTTACTGCTCTGACATCGTAAGTCGCAGCTTCTTGTAGGGCAGAAAGGAGTGGAAAGGAGTCGAGGAGTTCGAACGACGTAGCAAGGTAGACCGGAACGCAAAGCCGCGGAGCAAGTCGAAGCGGACTGTCAGCGGAGTGGAGGGCGGAGTGCGGAGGCAGGCGGAGGGAATAGGGAATACGCGCGAAAAAAAATGGCCGTAGATTTCCTGAAGCAGAGAGAAACCTGAGAGAGGAGAGAGGCCATCCCGGATCCCGGCCTTTTGTTGCTGTGTTGCATTTTCCGACGCGCCGCCTGAGAAAGTGCAACTCAACTACGTCGTATCGCTCGGTAACCGCACATGGTTTGCGTCCGTGCTAATGGTTCGTGCCCGTACTATAGCCAGCTGGAGGTTCTGGCCGCGGCGGCCGCGCTCGGCCGGCCCGGGAGTTGCATCTGCGTGCACCTGTTGATGATATTTTTACCTACATCGAGACGAGATCATTACATATACACATAACACATGTATTACACATACATATACATATACATATATATGTGTATGTATATGTGATGTAGAGTAAATTAAGATGACGATGTAAATGAAAAATTCGGCATACGTTGATCTCTTATTGTTCGTTGAAAGTTTTCGGTATTTTTGAACCGGCCGCGGCCGCGCGCGTCGTGCCGCTTAGGAGGGGTAGGCCGTGACGTCATGCGCGGCGGATCGATACGGTGACGGTGACGTAGTCATCATTCGCGCGGCGAGGCTCGAGCGAGACAGGCATAGCGGTGCGTAGGTGTCGCGTTATTACTTTTCGGAACTCGATCACGGCAAGTAGCAAGAGACACGAGACACTGGTCATTCGATCTACAATAAACGATCAGTGATTGCCCGCATGATCGATCAATTACCGTAATTAACGACTCGTAAATCATCGGAGCAGGCGGCGGTAGTTCGTTGAGGTAGATAACCGGCGCAATTAATTTACTCGAAAGAGAGATTCAAAGTCGTAGATAACGGGAAATACAAATGGCTATTCGATGCTCACGGGTGATAATTATTTCATTGGCGGCGCTTGGATTCGAGATGTTATATCCGCGTCCGCGTCGTACTTTCAGGTTTCGATGTAGACGTGACTTGTGTGATTCAAATGCGCGGAGTAATACACGGCCCGCCGAAACGGCGGCGCTCGAGTAACTCATCGGAAAATTGCGATATATCCGTGATACGATCGTTTATTCAATAATATGTATATCGCGTGGGAAATACGCGTTTGAGAAATATCGCGAGTGCAATATTGGGATCCGTTTGCGTATTTTTAGACGATTTATCGCAACTTATTTAATCGTTCAGTGCGATTCATATATTTCGTTCCGCGCGTAAAGTTGGCAGCCATTTTGACGATGATCCTCGTTAACGCGACTTCGCGAACGGACTCCGAGCTCCGAGTCGAGCAGCGTCGCAGCGCGTTTAATTTAGTAATTAACGTTATAACGAGCGTAATTCGATATTCGTCAAATGGACAGCGTAAATTCGACGTTCGTACAAGAGATGAATAGTGAAGACGCGTATCTGGAGAGAGTTATTTGATCGAAATCTATCGCTTGGGCAATTTTGGGTTATGGGCAAATCGCAGGTACGCATCTTTCGTACGCATAATGGTACTTTTCTCGTGTTATTTTTTCCGTCGCTATATGATAAAATACATAATTGTGTACAGGAATATAATAAAGTGCGTGCGAATAATGTCGCGATTAACGGAAGTGCCGTACAAAGTGCCGCACAATTGCTGCATTCTAATGACTCTTACGCGCGTGATAATTAATTAGCGTATTTTCGTGAGGCAAGTGTTTCGTGAGTGCAACAACGAGGAAACGAGAGGAGAAGGAGGAGGCCAGGGAGGCATCGGGCGACAGCGGAGCAACCATGAGGTGAGCATCTCCTAATTTATTTTTTATATTTATTATTTGTATAGGATTAATTATTGCATAGTACTGTTCTATATTATTATTGCATAATGTGTGTAATATATTTAAGATTTAATTTTGGGAAATAGTCAAAACATTGAATAGAATATTTGTAAAATATATGTAATATAACATGTATAAAATTTTATAAAAGTTAATATTTAACAGAGCGTTTTATCGAAAATTATGTATTATTAATTACGTTGCAAAATAGTTTAATTTAGATATATTTGTATTTTACAGATTCGCGTTTTGTATACTACAACTCCGCTGCTGCGCATCATACCGGTGAGTTTTAAATTATTTTTATTTTAATCTTGAGGTAATGGATTTGTAAATATATTGCATATACGTATAACATGTTTTTTTTCGATAATTATTAGTATGCAAAAGGATCATATTAAATTATATAACAAATAATTTAAATTGAACAAGTAGCAGCAATGAAATATTCTAGTATTTATATCCTCTTTATTCAATATTGTAAACTGCTTCATATCTAAATTTTATGATTATTTCTGGTTGTATTACAACTGTTAAAAAAAATAAAATTTAAATTAAGAATATAAAAATATTATATAGATAGATATAATGTTTTATAAATCTGTTACCTTAATGGATGAGCTAGGATACATTATTATAAATATGTAACTCTGGAATATATAAAGTATAAATTCGATTTATTGAATTCTCTGTATAATTGCCAAATATATACGATTTTCGAGAGATTAAGAACACCATGAAAATATAATACATTAATAATTTTATTTAGCTAATATATATATATAGTGTCTCAGATATATTATAATAAAATTATTTTTTGAATTTAATACTGAGGCACCTAATTAATGAAAAATTATGAAAAAGAAGAAGACGTAAAAAAAGAACTCTCTTTAATAGATAAAATATTAACATTTTAAAAACATGAAACTTGTATTTGAATCTCTTCATGGTGTTCGTGACAGCATGATTCACGATAATGACGAAGACTGGAACAAGATATTTCTGTATTTACATAAAATAAGAAGAAATTGATATTTTTATCAAACATGATAAGAATTAATTGTATAATATATATGTGCTCTATTTTCCCTTCTTTCCTCTTTATTTTCCCTTCTTTAATAAAATTTGAAGTCTGGTTCTTTACATCTTTTACATTCTTCCAGAGTTATATGTTATCTAAATTGGTGCATACACACATAAAAAAAAAAAACAATATATATTCAAAGATTTTCTCAATATATCAAAATAAAAAATCACGAAATATTTACACTGGCATAATGCATTCTAATTTCTCTACTTAATAAATTTTATTTGGTAAAAGACTTAATAAAGATCGCGCTACATTTATTCATTTTTACAATGCGCCAATTTAATCTAATTCTAGCTCTTTCATTCATATTTTTCAATAATTTTATATTTTTTAAAACAAAGTGATATAAAAAAAGCAAAAGAGAAAGTTTCTTTATATGAAATGCATATAATATTTATTTATGTATTGTATAACTTGCTTCGCGAAAGTATTTTAAAAATAAGTTCAAATACTAGTCTGCGCGCTATATATATATATATATATATATATATATATGTACATATATATGTATATATATTGTTATGTATATTGTTATGTATGATCTTTTTGAATTCATAAAGATCAGCTGTGTTATCTGGGATTGTAACTCGTACTGTTAATTATATGGAGGGGTAAAAGCCATAGTGGTATAATTCAAATTTTTTAAAATATTGACTCGTGTGCATAGATGCATTCTATACAATATATAAATTGCATCTATGCATACAAGACAATATTTTAAAAAATTTGACTTACACTACTATGGCTTTTACCCCTCCATATGTAACATTATTTATAAAAAAATTATTGTAATAAGAAATTATAAGGAAACGTGTAATAAATTTGAAATTGTATGATACTAATGCCGGATATATTATACGAAATCAACAGAAGACGATTAAGATCATAACGGTGTTTATTCTTTATCTATAGAATTTCACATTTTAAAAATTATCGTTAATTATTATAAATTTCACATAAATGTGAAGGTTTGAATCAACGCTCAAATAATAGCTTCTTGCTTGCAAAATTTGACATTTATCTGAAAATTAAAATTATAAAATTACGATTATATTTTTCAAAATTATGAGATACAAAATTTGTAATAATTTTGAAGAATGTAATCTTAATTTTGTAATTTTAATTATCGTAATTCGTTATTAATTGGAATACGCAAGATGGAAGCGCGGCCGCCGCGGCCAGAATATCCCCTCCAGCTGGCTAGTTCGGACACGAACCATTAGCACGGACGCAAACCATGTGCGGTTACCGAGCGATACGACGTAGTTGAGTTGCACTTTCTCAGGCAGCGCGTCGGAAAATGCAACACAGCAACACACGAAAAAGGCCGGGATGGCCTCTCTCAGGTTTCTCTCTGCCTCAAGCGAGACATTCGGACATCTTCTATTTCGTCCTGATTGACAAAGTTTACGTCGGATCGAATATGGCGAAACTTTCCGCCAAATTTTAAAATATATGATGAAAGACTTTGACTTTTAAGAGGGCAAATTCCTTTGTCGTGCGCAAAAAAATGCTCTGTTTTCAGAAACTTTTCTCAGTAAATAACATATAATCAATGCGGTTTTTTTTCATCTTATTTGTTATATATTTGAGTCTATAAAAAAATTAGGTTTTATAAAAAGTCGTAACTTTTAAAGTTGCGTGCACCAGTGCATGGTTCCAGTGCTGCATGATTTTACACTGTAGGTTAATTTAATCCGAAACACAACAATATTTTCTTGTAAAGAAATGTTATATAGAATTATGAACTATCGGGGGAGGGGGAATTTTTTAATTTATAAAAATTTACGAAATTACGTAACTTGAAAGAAAAAAGTTACGTATTTTTGCCTCAAAATTTGTCCACTATTTTTGTTATAAAAAAAGAACAAAATGCAAAATCGGAAAAAACCGCCGACAGTTCGTAACTATAACATTTTTTGGAACCATGCACTGGTACACGCAACTTGTTATAAAAGTTATGATTTTTTATAATATTTAATTTTTTGTATAGACATACTCTCAAATACATATATAACAAATAAAATAAAAAAACCCCGCATTGATTATTGTTATTTACTAATTGTAAGAAAAAAATTTCTGAAAATAGGTCATTTTTTGCGCAAGACAAATTTACCCCCTTAAGAAATAATAAATAATAATTCGCAAATTGTTACCGAATTTTATTGTTTGTTTGACGAAAACTTTGTAAATTGCAATATGACAACGGGGTTAATTGCAGCGGTATGTAAAGTGATAACTTAATTATATAGTAATGTTTCAAGAACATTATAGAAATATTGATGCAAAAATTATTAAATATAATTAGTGTTTATTATGATAAAAAAAGAATTTATGTGTGTTTTGTAGCAATCAATTTTTATTTAAAAAAATAATTTGTTTATAAATAAATAATTAATCCGTTAATAATTAATTCACTCTTTCTTTCTTTTTTACTTTTAGAGCTATGAAAGAATTAAAATTCTTATATACTGTTACGTGTGAGTAAAATTTAACTCAGTCTTAAAATAACCAGGAATGTTAAAGAAGAGATATCGATTATTGAAATATATCGATTAATTATCTGATTTTTGATGGGGAGACGGTTCCCAGACCGCGGTTCGCAGGGCATAGAATTACACCTAGAGATAAAAGACCATCCTCCTCCTTTAGAATACAAAGAAGTGGTGAGAAGCTCGCGCAGGGGTTCTGGCCACTTGGGTATAAATAGGCGCGAAAAATAATCGTACGGAGAGTTATTTTCCTGTGCTTATAAATTAATCTGCTGACAGTTTTTACCCAAGCTAATTTTATCAATTTCTGACTTATACACTTTAACTTCAACAAATTCTTGAATCAGGAATTTAACACTTCCTTTTTAAATCAGGATTTTAACTACAATTGTAAGACAAGAATATTAAATCATATTAATTAAACCAGATTTTAAAGAACAGTTGTAAACAGTTGTAAACGTATTCTCCCTGAATAAAGTTCATTTTCAATTCTCAAAACTAATTTTACTTATAATAATATTCTTTAATTTCATAACTCGATCCTTATCCTTAACTGTCACTGCCTAAGAGCGTGGCAACAGTAATTTCTTGATATTCTTGTCGCTGCCAAAGACTGTGGCAATAGGATTTCTCTTAATTCTCATCCATTATGCCTAGAAAAGGAGGTAAAAGATTCCAAAACTTAAAAGAATTAAATATCAGATTAAACAATGATTAAGCTATGCAATAAAATCAAGATCTTTTTCCATTCTTATTCAAATTAAAGAAATTAGAAAGCAAAATTCAAGACAATAAAACTCAAATCTTAATTCCATATAAATTGATCCCTTTGGATTTAATAGTAGATTTTCCAAATTTTAATTTACTGAACAAATCTAATCCTTGGTTTAAAATATACAAAATTCGATATCTCTTCGGACTGGGTTAATCACGCAACCTGGTCCAAATCCCGGGTAAATAACTTAAATGTTTTGACTAAAAAACGGACAGATAAACTTTTAACTTTGACAGAACGTGACAATACCAATATATATATATATATATATATATATATATATATATATAT